TGTTTTGGTTTGGTTTTTTTAAGCATTTAGAGGAGATAGTCACTGAGTGCTGCTTCACTGTTGGTGAGAGCTTTAAAAATAGAAAATTGCTCTCTTAACTTATTTCTGTGGTGAAACTGAATATTCTTAAAATAGCAAATTGAGCCAGAGGAGGAATACTTTCAAAAGACTTTTCTGTGGTTTATCTGTACACCTGACCTAAAGTATTTAACTCAAAATTTTTTTGCTGTGAGAAGGGAAAAAAGTTGGAGTAGGTGTTTTCCAGTCAAGATAGCAATGCATGATCGTTCTTCCCTATGAACTGAAAAATCTTCTTCTCTTTGGTATTTCGCGGTAAGGTCTGTTAATAAGCTTTTATGAAAGGCTTTGAAGTATGCTTATAGTACTTCCTAAATTGATACCTCTGGACAAGTGTAGGTTTTATTTCTGAAAAAGCTTGTGTTAAAACATGAGATTGGTCTTGTTAGATTTGACCAGAAGGCAAATGGCCAACAGCAGTTGCCAAGGGAAAAGCATAGGTGCAGGCACGCACATTGCAACACTTACCTGAAGTCTCTGAAGTCCTTAATATGTGGCTCAAATATTCCTGAACTACATATTTTTCAGGCATAATAGACTTCCATGATACTTTATTACAGGAATTCTTTCTATTTTTGAACCAAAATACTCCTTTTTTTTTTTTTTTTCTTTTATGTCATGCAGCAGGTAGCTAACAGTTTAGCTGCATATGGTGTAAAACAGTATCTGCGGTTGTTGGTTTTTGAATGAGCCTGTGCTAGTTTCATCAGTGCTTACAATGTTGTAGGAAGTAAAAAAAATGACAACTTGGTATCAGTCTTAGTATATTGATTGCTTTCTTTTGTTTAGGATTCTTCAGTCTGCTCTGGCTTTCACATTTATTACCTTTCATCATTCATATTGCTTGTCTCTGTACTTTTCAAGTTTTTTCTGTTGTACCCTGTTGAGTAAGGCAGGCAGAGGGAGGCAGAGTTGCACCCTGCTTCCTCACAGGGTGGATTTTGGAGGTGAGGGGAAAAGAGGAAGCAAAGCAACTAACTGTCAAACAAAGAGAGCAAAGCCTGGGAACTTGAATTGAGTGAGACCTTTCTCAGCAAGCATTTTTTTAAGCAATAAACTTTCAACTTTAGTTGAAACTATAAGCCATAGTGGGGTGTTGGACAAGTTATTTTGAATGAAGTTTGTACTTAATCCATGACTTACGTTAATTGGAAGGGTTTATATTTTTAAATGTATTTATAAAAATACGTGAAGCAGTTGGAATTTAAAGGCAAACCTTTTAAAACCAAACGCAAAGGTGTGTTTTGTATTAGAGGAATAGGGAAGAAAATACTTACTTTTAGATGGAGAGAGGGAATTACGGTTTATTTTCTGAAATGAACTGGGGAGAAGGGCTGGATAGGCAATTGCATCGGTCTAAGAAAATAAATGTTTTCTAGTAACTTTTGATTTTAGGCTGGGTGGATAACTCCTGCTTGTATAAAAACGAAACTGTTTAGTTGCCAATATTGTTAATCAGGGTCAGGAGAATGTCTCAACTATGTTAAGAGTAATTGGAGAGAAGAAACATATAATTCATCTTATTATTCAGGTCAGTTAAGAAAACTTGCAAGTTTTGTCAACTTTAATTATAAACCTTTTGTGCTACTGAATCTGTTAAAAAATGTTTCTTAACTGGAGCTGTAATTACAGAATGTAACTTTGCCACATCTATGGTAAGTATGCAGGATCTGGCAGCGTAATTGGGAGAAATGTGTTCCATCAAGTATTTGGCAGTACTGACTTGGATAAGTGCTTTTTTTTTTTTTTTTTAAATTTTCCTTCATGTCTTATCCTGAGGGATAGTAGCATTAGGAGAGTGTGTGTAAGTTTTAGAATGTCTTGGTTCCTTGTCATTCAGTTCCCATTTTCATGCATAGGTGGCTTTAAATTTATGTTCTGAACTTCTGCTGTCTTTGTTTTTCTAGTGATTTTGTCTTTTAATAATTTGGTAGCCAAAATAGGAAAATTTTGAAGTTTTAATATCTATAAAATGTGTGCACTTCTTTCCTTACTATTTTGCATGATTTCTTTCTCTCAATAACAACAAAAACAACCACTAAAAGAACAGCTAAGCTGAAGCAGCTTTCCAAAAAGTTTCTTCTGGAGCTCTGAGGAAAGATTCTATGCAAAGATTTATTCAGATGGGATGCTTTTCCTTGAGAGAGCCGTTAACAATCTACAAGTGACTATTTGGAACAGGAATTTGCTTTCAGAGTAAATACAACAATTGATTCCTGCTACAATTTTCTAATGGAGCTTGTTATAATTATTCACTTGTCTTGTGCCTCTGGTTGCTCCTCCATCAGTTAAGTGTTTCAGAGATTTAAGTTTGGAAGAGAGGGAGGGGCACAGTTTGTGTTCTCTTTAGTATGTTGTGTAGATAAGGGATGGGTAAGAAGAGGAACTGATGGAGAGGGGCTGACTTGGTTTTACAGGTTACCCAGTAGTTGCTGTTCTTGGTGGAGCTATGGAAAGGAGGCTAAAGGAAGGGCAAGATGTGGTGTGGGTGCTCCTCTCAGCTTGGCTTTGTGATTCTTTAACTGCTGAAACTGCCCAAGCCCTCAGGCTCCTTTGTGAGAGCTTCCACTGCCCACTGGTCCTTGCTAATAACAGCATCTCTTTTTACTCCTGATGTTTATGAATAAAAGCTTGTTAAAATGAGTTAATTTGATGTAGTCAAGTCTTACAGGCCCATACTGTATCCTAGATCTTTTTGGTTTTTAATACAATGAAATAACAAAATCTTAGCATTACAGTTCTTGGAGGCAGAACACTAGTTAAGGAGTTGGTATGTGTAACTAATGTTGGGGAAAAAAGCTGTCTATAAATTGAAGTTGTTACCTGAAAATCTCCTGCTACTGTTATGCTCTGATGGTAGTTCTGCTACAGTTTTGCAGACATGATTTGAAACAGCTTCTGAAATGAAATCCTTGTCTGTGCTCTGCTGTATAAAAAACTCCTGTTTTATCTTTTTTTTTTTTTTTGTCCCCCTCCCCTTTTCCCCCCCCAAAAAGAAGAAAACAAAACCAAGAAAGACCAAAATAACCCGCAAACAAACCAACCAACCAGTCCTCTCTGAAGTGTCATCTTAAGCCTATTGAGAAGTGGATGGAAAAAATTTAGTATGAAAATAAATTCTTTTGCAATAAAATTTTATCCAATTTCCTTTTATGTTTAATGGAATGTAGAAAAGCAGAACATTATTGATAGTAACATAGACCTGCTCATACTGTCTTGATTTTATATTTTGGAAGGGAGTTTAATCACGCTTTGGCTTTTCTGTTATTTGCCATTTCAACTGATAAAGAAAACTTTTTCACCACAAACTGGGCCTTCCATAATAACATTCTCATGTATGATATTTGAAATATGACCTTATTAATTTAGTTTATGAACCCAGTTTTAAATATTCATATTTAAAATTAATTGCTAAATTATGCTTTCTAAGGCTCAAACAACAGTCCCCCCACCAATCCCCAAAATACGTGGGCTGGTGACGAATCTTTCCAAAATGAAAAAGTGACTTTATTGCTGATGCTTATACCATAAATATTAACTTGGAGTTTTCTTTATTAATTATTTTTCAATTATGTTACTACATGGTGCCTAATTATAAAGATAATTGTGGAGCATTTTGTCCAACAGAACTGGAATTGAACACAGATGGTGCTGTAGCTGAGACACAGGAATTAGCAGTTTTCCATCTTCTCCTCTCCTTTCTTTTGACTTTTATAGCCTGCAAATTTGTCTCTGCCAATTTATTGCTAAATTTCTACTGCATGTTTCATTTGGAGGGTTGGAATTACTGTAGATAAAACACGAGGTATTACTGTTAGTGCACAGAGGAGATGACCTTATGGGAGAAATGTGCATGTGTACAGGGCAGTGAGTATGAACATGTCTTGCTTTGTTAAATATATTTATTGGCTGTTGCCAAATGAGATGGAGTTACTGATTTTTAGTTTGTTGTTTTGACTCTTACTATATTGTGAAATTGATTTGTTTGTTGGAATTGTCTTTCTTTTTAAGCTACTGAGTTAATGCTGCTCTTCAAGGGATGGCTTGTGTCAGTTGTTAATTTATAGATAGGGATTGTCCATGTAGTATTGCTATTGATGTTTATTATCAGGGTCAGGAGAAAATAAATGAGATTTAAAATAGTTTACTGCTCCAGTATGCTGAAACTTTCATGTCTTTACTTTGTACGTGGTTTGTTTCTTATTTCTACAAATTCCAGAGCCTAAATGGCTCTTCTCCTCCCCCTTAGTTTATGGTCTGCATAGTTGGACATGATTTTCTCTGGTTTTATGCTGCTTAAACAACTAACCTACAACAGCAAACCATAACTAATCATTGTAGTAATAAACTGTGGTGTTCTTAATCTGCACTTTAAACATTTTTTTTTTTTCTTTGATCTCAATATTTAGAGAATATTTCACTGTAGAAGTTTGTAGCGAGAAAACCATATTAAACTTAATTGAGATCAGTACAGCAGGGCATATCTTGTTTTGGTTCGGTACAAGGATCTGTGCTAAAATTTGAAGAGTTCTATTTTGTTAAGCTGTGAAGATCATAGGTTTTAGCTCATTTCGCTCTTCCATGACAGCATATGAAGTCAGAACACTTACTGTAGTGGTTTTTTTTTTTTTTTTTTTTTTCAACCAATAAGAAAATCAGTGTATTATTATTTTTTTTTTTTAGTGAATCTTTAATGGTATAGGTAGAATATGTGTTTGTACAGATAATATCATACAGGCAAAATAACATTTGCATAGCTGTATTAAGAAGTGATAAATCTTAAAAAATCGATGCTGTAACTGAATTACGTGCTTATTATCAATTCACTGAAATACATGCATATGCTTTGTATTGCATTAATTGAATGTCACCACAATTAAAAAAAAAAAAAAGCATAAAGATTCCCTTTTCTGTTATACCAGTTACAAGCAGGGGACATTGAAAATTCTTCCTTGGAATGAGCAGAAACATCGTGAAGAAGACTGGTGTGAAAAAGCAGAATGCAGGTAAGTATATAGAAAAAGCAAAAAGTTTTTTCTATATTTATGTACATTCCGGATAAAGAATTTACCTGTTCTTGAAATGTAGGAAATACCCAATAAGACTCACTTCGGATTTTTGTGCACACTAACTTGTGTTTTCAGCTTTCTTAGTGAGACTGACTGAGCAACCACTCTTTCATGCTATAGTATTAAGTTCAGTGTAATTATGTGATGAGTAACTTTTGCAAATGCACGTGAGCAGTAAGAGGTTACTGTTGGAAACCCTGATTTCTCTTTTTTTTTTTTTTTTATTTTTTTCCTTTCACCCTGTTACTTGTCAGCCATAATGTTATCATAGCAGCATTAATGGATCACAAAACTGCCTTTCACTGTGTGAGAAACAGATGGAAAGTAAAGGCTGAGCTTACCTGAGTCTTTAGTAGAGAATATTTGTTTCATGATGTGTATGTTGTTTGGAATCTCTTACTAGTTACTTTGCTGACAAAAATTAACACTTACTATGATTGACTTATGAGTCTCATCAAATTATTGGTGTAATGGTAAGCTGATTGTACAGTTTTCTTTCAGAACAACCAGAAGTTTTAGGAAAAAAAAATGATGTGAAAAAAATGCAAGCAAATGTATATTTAAACCTATACTTACTTTTTTTTTTTTTTTTTTTTTTAAAAAAAAGGATGATTGTTGAGCCGACTTTACAAGATGAAGGTGAATTTCTATATGAAATGCAACCTGAGTTACTGAAGTACAGGACTACTGACCTTTCAGTAGATCTCGTTACCGATTGGTATTTGAGCAGAGCACAGGAAATTGAAAAATACGCGATGCAGGTGAGAATAGCAGTGAGGAAATGATGACTGAGTCGGGCTAATCAGCCTTCTTCAACAGAATCCTATCTTAATGCGTACTGATGGGACGCTTTTCCCTTGGTAATATACACTGTGTCTCAATCTTCATTATGGCCTTTGAAGTATTTTTTTTTTCTTTTGCAGTGTACTTATGCTTGCTCTAAAGTTTACTCAACCAAATAATTGATCCATAGGAAGCCAGTAGATTCCTTTTCACTTGGCTTACCATAGCAGACAGTAGCACTTTCATAGTCCATGAAAAATGTTTGCCATAGTATTTTATGTTTGTAACTATCGAGGGAATGTTGTGCACAGGGTATCAGGAAACATGTTTTATTATCTGTCACATGATACTATGCCATATATATCGATATGTGGCAGTCACATGTCACTCATATGCCAATAGGTAGTACTGGCATGATTTCTTCCTGGCAGACTTATTGTGTGTCTTATTTTTGCTTTATTTTCTTCATATTTTAAAAATATTTGAAGCTCTGTGTGATACACATGCAAGTAAGAATAGAGCTCATCACTGATGTGCGCTGGTATTTTATTGCTTCTCAAACCAATTTATCAACATGAAAAGGAGGCTGACTGGAAGTATCACTATGAGTTAGTTCTGATGGGCAACTTCTTTTATTCTTCAAGTTTATAGTCCTTCAAGACTCTTTAATCATAGTTCCCTGTGATCTTAACAACATATCAGTAGGTATGGAAATAAAAGCAACTTCCAAAGATCAATTAAATTACTAACATAGAGTTAATTTGCATTCTACTCTTCCAGAATTATGTCTGCCTCACTGAATACATACAGCCGATATTGCATTCTTTGAAATCAAAACAGAATCTTTCATGTAAAGGTATTTTCAGTCACCAAAGAAAAAGGCTGTCATTATCTTCTGCGAAATAAAATGCACCAATTAAAATTACTAATTCATGATCAGCTAGAAAAGTCATGTTACATGCAGAGGTATGCATAACTTCAGTCAATTAATTGATTAATTTAGTTTAAAACAATCCTTTATATTCCATGCAGTGTGAGATGAGGTGATATATCTCTGTGTATGATCTCCAGAAGGAATGAAAAATAGTATTCTCCTAATTTATACGCATCAATAGGATGTATCTGGGTCAAAATACCTATAATGACATCATCCACTAAGATGAAACATTTTATTTGATCTTTATAGAGCTGAGAAGAGCAATCCATTTAGGAATATACAGGCAGCAAAAACATCCAGGAACTTAGAATTGCCTATTAGGCCAAAGGAATGGGGAAGTGAAATAGATACACAAACAGAACATAGACTGGACTTGAAGTTATTTTTTGCCAAGCAGTTGTACAGCAGGAGTTTTTCTTATTTTTCAGGTGGACTGTGCGCTGTCCCTTGTTCGTCTTGGCATGGAGAGGAATATCCCTGGTCTGCAGGTGCTTTGTGACAATCTGATCACTCTTGAGACATTAGTTTATGAGACTGATGGTGATCGAACCTTAACTTTGAAGGAACTTGTAGAGATGAAAGACATAGAAAAGCTAAGACTGTTGATGAAGAATGTAAGTATTTTGAATTAATCAATAAGTATACCTTTGTTTTCCAGTAATTCACCTTAGCCTAGATCTTATGTATATAAAGATACTGTTAGTGGCTGTCATTTTTCTGATGAGCCACTGTCTTTAATTCAAGAAGAATTCAATACTTTCACTGTTCCTTTTTTGTTGTAGTGGGTTTTTTCTTTGTTTATTTTTTCTTTGTTTATTTGTTTTTAACAAAAGCTAAAATGTCTGTTTTCTCCAAGACCTGTTTCTTCATCCTAGGCACATGACTAAACGTTAATAAATCCAGTCTTTTGAAAGCTGTGAATTGGTCTTTCATTGAACCTTTCTAAAGGATCTTTAGTGTAGCTGCTGCTGATGCTGCAGATACAACGTTGAATGTTTGGTGTTTTTAAATATTGGTAAAAAATCTTAATATTTGCCTCGGCAGCATGTGTGTGTTTTTCATCTTCCTTGTGTTCAGCCTGTGCATGGCATTTCAGAATAGAAAAAGACCTCTTGGAAGGGTTGAAAAATACCTAGGGATTGAACAGGGCTCTGAAATTCAGTTGAAGAACACATGAGCACCAGAGGAGTACACTCATGCATGTGAAGCTCCTAAGAATTTTCAAAATTTTACTAGTATTTACGTAACCACTCATCACTTATTTTTCTGTCTTGCATTCTTGCATACTGAAAGTAATGGTACCCTGACATGAATGCAAGCCAGTCTTTCACTCATTCTGAAATTGCAGGAGGAAGACAGCTTGGCTTTCCTAATGTAGTGGGCTTTACTCCTCTACTACTTGGTTTCCACAAGCGACAGGGTAGCCGAAAGATGATGGATTGTTTCAGTGGTTCATGATGTAGCGATCTGTGCGGCAGTGGTGAATGTTAGCCTTTAGCTGTTGTTTGTGACAGGTGAAGATACTATTTCAGTTATATTGATCAAAATATGTTCTGTTTGTTTTCTGGGTTTCTTGTTTGTTTGGACAATGAAGTTAAACTTGTTCTTCTTTTCCTCTCTGTGACTCGTGGTGCTTTCCAGTCCTCTGATGAAAAATATGTGAAGAATGTTTATCAGTGGATGATCCCTTTTCTCCACCGCTGTGAAAATCAGTCCCCTGGTCTGGCAAATGCACTTTTTAAAGAATATTTAGTAACATTAGCAAAGGAAGACCTGACTCTACCTCTGAAGATATTTCAGAATTCTAAACCAACTGTAAGTGTAGAGCCCTTATGATTCTATTGGTTTCTTTGGAAATTCTTGTACTGAAGAGATAAATTAATAAATAGAGTAAATTAATCTCAATCAGATCGTCCTTATGATCTTTCCCTTCTTCTTGGAGCCAGGATTTGTTATGCTTTAATAGCATGAGTTATGATGCAACTACACTGTCCTTGGTGAGATTGTCAAACTAATGTAATTATGATATTGACCTAGAACTACAATTATTGTAAAGATTCTTCTTTGAAGTAATTTTCTGGTGACGTGTTTAAAGTAAATTCCTGGCATATTTATTTTTTTAAAAATGGATATGAAAGAGTTTTATGATCTGACTAATATTTTTTTTCCTGAGGAATTTTCCTAGCAGTAGATTTCAAGTTATATGTTCCCCACCCCCCTCTCCCCACTTCCAAAACAAATATATAGAATAAAATGAGGCCCATTAAGATGGAGCCAAGAGTTCAATGAGTAAGGATTGAAGTTACCTTCTGTGTGAGTATTTCATGCTGCTTCTACAGTTTAAATAATTATTCCAGGGCACATAAACACCTTTTTAAGTGTGTGGATAGCAATTAACACAGCTATTTTATGTATATTGATACTGTTGTACATATTAAATCTAACAAATGTTTGCAGCAGTTGCCTTCCTCTGCCCTGCACCCTATCCACCTCTAAAATTCAAAAATGATGTAATGGGATACCCTTGTTCTTTCAAGTGTCTGCAGTGTGGGAAACTAGCTGAGTTATGTTTCAGGTTGTAACTTCAATAGATACAAAGCTATTAGCAAAAGACATTCTAATTACAACTAAAGACAATTTATTTACTTGGAGTACACATCTTTTTATATTCAGAAGAAACTTGACTTTTGAATTAGAAACAGAAAACTAAAAATGATGTGCTTTCTTTTCTTGTTAGTGTCAGCAAAAAATTATTCCTGATCAAGACCAGCTTATGGTTACGGCATTAGAATGTATTTACAGCTGCGAACGCGATGACCAGCTCTCTCTCTGTTACGATATTTTGGAATGCCTTCCACAAAGAGGATATGGGTAAACATGTTCAGCTAGTTATTTGTAAATATTTTAGATATGTTAAATACAGCTGTGAATTAATGCTTTAAAAGTAGTTATTGAGTTGCTAAAGAGTAGGTATAGAATATTTTGTTCCTATCTGAGTTGCTGTGATCATGTGTGCATATGTATGCTTGTGCTGTATATGTACTTTACCAAATAATGCAAAAAACCTTATTTAAAGTAGCAGCCTAGACCAAGGCTTCTGTATTAGTTTCTTAGACTTTTACAGCCTGGTGAATTGAGACCAAGTGTTAGTATACTGGTCTTGTTGGTCTTGTTACAGTTAGCGGTGTCTTGCAATATGGCCCCATGAAAGAAGTCTCTATATGGAAGGCCTATGTAAAGGACCAGTAATTATTGAGGAAATGAAAGCGTGAGCAGGAGATGCAAAGTGTTCTCCTGATACCTCTTACATGTAGAAAGGAGAGAGCTTGAGAAAACTGTAGGGAAGAAGGAAAAGCTCTGTTCTTGGGAGACTGAGGAACCTTTTCAATTTTAGCTATCCTTTCAGCAAGAAGCCAACAGTTTTAATCTTTTCAAGCAAATATATATTTGGTTTTCATCAAGGAATGTTTCAAACTGTTTATATCTATGTAATATGAATTACATGAATAAATTACAAGAAGTATGTATATATATACTTAATATTAATTTTATAATATCTTTGCAGGCCTGAAACAAATAAAACTAATACTCTTCATGATGAAGTAGATGAACTGGAACAAATTCTTAGGTATTTAATTTTGCTAAAATAAATGATATATTCTTACAGAAGTCACTCGGCATAGCCAAGAACTTTTTTACGACAAGAAAGCAGCAAGAATATTTGTGTTGTTTTCTTGTTTTTAGTACTGTTAACAAGATAATCTGTAAGTGTTTTGTATTCAGAACTTAGAAATTTTGAATAGTTTTTGCTATTTAAATCACAGATATTTTCCCTGAGATTTTTTTTTTTTTTTTTTTTTTTTTTTTTTTTTTTTTTTTGAGGGAGAAGAAGGTTATCCCAGGGAATTTGTTTTGATCTGGGTACTCTGTAATGCTTTCAGTGATGATAAACTAAAAGCTGTGCTGGTATATCATCAGTTATTGGTGCTATGCATTTACCCTACAGTATTCATTTTTGAGTAAATAATGTTACTGTGGCTAATCCATACTGTTATAGACTTTATGGAGACTGTTTGCATTTGCAGTGCATTGTCTGAGACAGCTTTAAGGCTGCTGCAGCAGAGGTAGTTGTACAACTGTGCAGGATTCAAAAAATGTTGACTATCCATTTACAGCGTGTCAGAGCTGTTGGAGAAACATGGACTTCAGAAACCTGTTTCCTTTGTGAAAGACACGAAGGACAACGCGGAGGAGGCACGGAAGCTGATGATTAGGCTGACGAGGCACACAGGTCGAAAGTTAGTATTCAAAGGGGAGTGGGAGATAATGGGGAAGGGACAGTAAGGTAAAAGTACTTACCATCAGAGAGCATACCTGCCTGTTTTGTTGTGGTAGGGAAATGTAGTGTTCAAACTCAACATGGTGTACATTAAATACATTTGTTAAACTGATGATTAACAACAAATGATGATTTGGGTTTTTGCTGCATTCTCCATATTCAAAAAACTCTTATCTTGCTTCAAACCTGTTTCAGGATGTTTGTGTTCAAGTAAACAAGCCTAAAAGGCATACTGGCTGCAAAATGCTGCAAGATGATGAACAGTAAAAGTTAATGTATTGTACATGAGGTCCTTTAAGACCTATTTAATTTTATTGAAAGTGCAGGATTTGTAGAATAATGGTTTTTTTTAGGCATGTTTTCTTAAGAGCTCTTGTAATAGGGTAATTTATTGATTTTATGTATTGATTCTACCTTTTGCATTTCCAGTATAATTTTTCAATTTTTTCTGTTTAAGAATTATTTCACTTAACTTGTCTTCCAACTGTAGATGAATTATTACATGGCTCTTGGCATAATCAGATTAAAGGATTGACTGCTGGGAAAAACAACCATCACTGCAGGGTTGTTTTTTTTTTTTTTCTTATTAAAAGTAAACATGCACTACAGTTTATCAGTGATGATAGTGTAGTATTTTGCTTGAACATGCTGAAAGCTTTTTAAGACTTCTAAAACCTTTCTTTAGAAAGATCACATCAATGGCTCTCTAGGGAAAAATGTTGATTTTTCACTTTTTGTAGAGACTCTTTGAGAAAATCACTATTAGCTGGATTAGCTTGTGCAGTTTAAAAAAGTCTTTTTTAGTCTGAAAGGCTTAAGATAATGTTAAAAATCCTTCATAGTGTTTTTACTAGTAAAAGTTTTGATAGAGCACATGAAGTTGTATAGGAACCTCTGGGTAAACAGAGATCACATGAATCCAGAGATTCAAGATTCTGAATACCATTCCAGTTTAAAGAACAAAATAAACTTTGCATCTCTGTTCTCCCGTGATTGCGTGTAATTGATTAGTCCTTTTAGATTGCCTACTATGAACAACACTTTAATGATCCTTAGTTGCTGTTACAAACTTGTTTTCACACAGCTGCTCTTGGATCAACAGGAAGATAGCACTTCCAACTTTCTGATTTACTATTGGAAGTTACCAAAACCTACTTGGGAGATCTTGATAAAGATTATTTAAATCCCTGTTTTATTCCACAGAAAACAAATAAACAGAAAAACCACTTTGGGTACTGCACTGTTGTCATCAAACAATTTTATCCCACAGTTTTAATGTTAATTAATATTAAAAACATTCTATCTTTAAATCCCTTTTGGTTAAAAGTCCAATTAAGGATTGAAATAACTTTTGAGAAAACTCATGGTTTTGGTGATGGAACTGTAGTGTTATCTACTGCTTTTCTTTAAATTTATTGAGGAAGAGATTATTTATTTTTTTAAATGTTTGTAGGCAACCATCAGTCAGTGAGACACAGTGGAAGGAATTGCTCCAGGATATGCTAGAAATGCAGCAGAAAGTATATACATGCTTACGTTCAGATACTTGCTATGAGGTGGGTTTTATGTTTTCTTACTGATTTATGTCCTAAGTAAGCTACAAATTCTCATTTCATATTGTTCACAAATTTAAATACATTTTCATGTGTTATATTGCTTGGTTTTCTACTGGCTCTTTTACCGTGTTTTCGTTCAAATCATAAACTTCCTGTGTTAATTCATTTCATCAAAAGCTGCTCTAATAGATATCCTGTATATCTTTTACTAGAATTCAACTTTTAAAAAATTGAGTCAGCTTCTTGAGACTTCATAATTCTATGTACAAATGTGTTTAAACAGTTTAAAACAATAAAAATTAACTTTTAGCTAAATGTTATCTTCAGCCAAGCATTTCTTAAACATGAAGTTCTGGTTTGATAATATTACCCAAGATCATTATAGGATTATGGACTTTCTGTTGCTTGCAGTTGAAATAATGTGAGATGAGAAAACTAATTTTGTTGGGGGAAAAAAAAAAAATCTCTACATGTGCATAAACTCCAAACCTATGTCATTATTATTTGCAAAGGACAGCTGTTAGATTGATGTAGCATTTGCAGTGACATGTGTTTATCTACGTTTTCACTTCATTATATTGCAGTTCAGTACAGAAACAGTACCATGTCCACTATAATCAGTGTTTAGAGAGTCACATATTTTAAAAATTTAGGGGTGTTTTATTACAGTTTGCAGATTTAATTGCTTATGGCTACCATTCTGATTAGCTCTTGGGAGAAGTTTTAAAAGCAAATTATTAGAAAAAAAAAAAAAGGGAAAAAGTAATGCCATTCAACCTGTACATAAAAAAAATAACTTTTTCTCTGTAGTTGTACAATTCAAAGCTGCTCAAAGGGAACTGCAGTGTATTTAATGTTCATGGTTTTGTGATATGCTAGGGCTTGAAATTTTTTAAGTGTGTTAAGTAATTTAATTTTTTTTTAAGCACATTAAAAAAAAATAGTAGTAGAGCATGCTGAAAATAATAGCATTTGCTTTACTCTGATTTTAATATAAGGCTTTTTAATTAATATTAAATTATTTTTTAACCTTTCTACCGTATGATTAAAAAAAACCTCAAGATTTTTTTTTTTTAATTATGAGAATGCTGAAAATGCTTTTAAATGTAGTGCTGTTGTATGCAATTACACTTTAATAACTTCAAAATTGAGAAATTGATGAGACAGTAAGGATTTGCAATCACATGTGAGGTTTGTATTGGGATCTTTTTTTAGCATGTTGCTTATTCTATTCTGCTTGCAAGAATGCTGAAAATGCTTTTAAATGTAGTGCTTTTGTATGCAGTTACACTTTAATAACTTCAAAATTGAGAAACTGATGAGACAGTAAGGATTTGCAATAACATGTGAGGTTTGTATTGGGATCTTTTTTAGCATGTTGCTTACTCTATTCTGCTTGCGTGCAAAGGGAATCCTGTCCTTTAGAAGGACTTCATGTCCATGCATTTTGAGAGAGATAAATTGTATGTATGTGTTCTTTAAGGAAGAAGGGTTAGATGTCATAATTTGCATCTTTCACTGTTCCTTACGAATTAATATATTGTGAAATTGAAGATGATCCGATTTTATGATGTTTTTTAAGGAGCACTGAACTATGTTGCTTTCCAGAGCATGAGATGATTTGGATAAGTTCTTCCTAGTGAAGATGTACTTTAATTTCAAGATGCAATTGGACAGGGTGCTAGATAATCTCGTCTATGCCCCCTTTCCCATGAAAGGTTGTATCAGATGATCTTTTGGGGTCCCTTGACCCTGGGCTCTTCTATGATTCATTGATTCTATTTAATTTGTTACAAAATTAAAAATCCTTGATAAAGGCCACATTGTTACAACTGTGATATTTTCCTGAAACTATTAAATGTGTATGTTGCTCTTCATTAGGACAATACTGTGGATGTTTTAAGAAAAACAATTTGTTTTTGTAAGGAATTGAGATTTTGAGGGTCTTAAAGTGGGCAAAACTTTGACCTGCAAATAGCAATTAGACGTTTTGTGGTAGATGCAGCATTGTATAACTATGCATTCTTTCAAGGTAGTCTTAATTGAAACTTAATAAACATTTTATATGCTCAGTTCTAAATATTTTTAGGTTCTTCAGGGATACAAAATTTCTTCTTATATGTTATGGGTTTTAAAGTCTTAATACTGAACTACCTTTTCAGATTCTTACATCCTATTAACACCTCAGAATGTAGGTATAAATAATTTCTGATATCAAAGTCGTACTGTAAAAAGGCAATTAATAAGCTTTTTTCTGCAGGAAGTAGAAATAACTAACTACTAGTTAATTTTAGCTTTACTTAAATAAATTGTAGAAATAGTCTACTGGGTAGAAGTTATATTTTCTGCTTTGACTGACTATATTCTTTTGACTTCAAAGATCCTTTTATTCAAAGGCGTTGGTTCCGTACAATGCAGATAAGCTTTCTCAAAGCTACTGCTGCAGATTATTAAATTACTATTCTTTCTTTTAGATATTCACAGAAAGTCTTTTATGCTCAAGCAGTATAGACAATATCCACTTAGCTGGGCAAATGATGCACTGCAGTATTTGGTCAGTGGATCTACCAAGTTCATCAAAAGGGATGCCACGGTACCGAGTCAGCTATGCGAAAAGTATTGAACTAGTTTTGGCTGCTGGCAGAGAATATTTCAATTCTTCAACAAGTTTGACTGATAGCTGTATGGATTTGGCCAGGTATATTTACAATTATCATAGATATAAATACATATTGCTCTTCTAATTGAAACTTGAATTTTCTTTTCCCTGTAAGAGGGGGTGAATGTTACATGGGTTTACTTCTCTTCATGTAAAATTGCATGGTAAATGGAAAAAATATCTGACTTCTGTAAGGTTTTTTTGGTTGTATTTTTTTTCAATTGTCTTCTGTATTTTTTTTTCCCCATTCTGCTTTTTATGCTGTTTCTGCTGGAATGATCTGTTACAGAAGTCAGGTTGAAGAAGCAGGATGAAACGTGCAAGTCTTTCTCTGTGGATAAGAAGTTTTTTGTGTGTGTTATTTGAACCTTTTCCACATTATGGCATTGAATCACAATTGTTACAATACAAAATAGCATTTTGCTGATTCTTTCATGTGTTTCCTTGCATTGGTCTTTCCTGATTCTGAGAGTTCATGGGGGCTGTCTCTCTGTCTGTCTCTTTTGTTACATTAAGAGATAAGCCAAATAATTATTCGGAAAGGAATTCCGGCATAGAACAGCCTTAGAGGTTGCAGTGAGAGTGTTCCTTCTTGTATAGATTCAGATATTGAAGTATTTTCTTTTACAGTTTAGATGCAAATAGGTAAAATAATTGAGTATTACCTATGTAGAAGATTGATTCCTTGGCTTACCCTAAAGATTTAAAATAGAGGCATGTCTTAGTATTTCCTGCCTTTCCCTTTTATTCTAAGAATTTGCTGTTTCAATTGTATTATGTGTTAATCCAAATGAGTTTTCCTTTTTCCTTAAGGCACTTCTTAAAAAAAACCCAAAAAACCAAAACAAAACCAAAGAAACCATAAACAAAATGACGAAAAAACCAAAACATAATCCCATAACTAAACAAAAATACTGATGTCTCAGCTGCAAATGAAGACATGTGTTTTTAAAGTGCTACTTTCACTTAGACATGAGTACACTTACCTACTAATTACAAGAAAAAAAAAAAAATTTCTTCCCTTCAGATACAAATTAATGTTGACCTGTAATGGTATGTACATATGCACTAACAGGTTTTTTTGAGTACTAACTATAGTAATACAGTCAAACTGTTTATAATTACTTATCCTTTTCCAAATTAAGTTTACCTCAATGAAACATTGTTACTATAAAGTTTTATGGGTTGACAAATCATATATTTTCTGTTAGAGATTAAAGGAAGAATATTTTTGCAGCTTGCCTTGAGTGACAGTTACATTCTCCACAACTTAACTATAAAATGGCTGAAAAATAATTGAGTTTTTTTTCTCCCTAATAACTCACAGCTTGTTCCTCTCTCCTGTCACAATGCACACACACTTTAATACATATGTTGAGGATGAGTTGTTTTCTCTTTATTTTTGTGGGGTTTGTTGATTGGTTTTTTTAGTAAAGGCATTATTGCTTTAGGTCAAAATTGGAAGACAGTCACTTTTACAGTATTAATTATATAATTCTAGCTCTATTTCTACCTTTTTTATTGAAAACACAGTTTATTGACTGTCATTACTGCTTATAAGCACTGTAAGTGAATACTTGCTTTGGAGGTCTGAAACACCGAAGAGTCACTAGCTTTTTTAAATTGATCTTTATTTTTAAATATATAAATATTTGTATGAATATAATTATTATTATTTTAAAATCAGTTAAGCCTTTTCATATTTTGAACACCAGGACTACTAGATATACTTTGCAAAAGTTGCAGTCGGAATGAAGCCAGTGCATACACTGTCATAATATCCAAATTACAACTGGATTTTATCTGTATGCATCTAATTGCCACAGTTAAAATCTCTCTGTTAGCTACTTCAATGTATGAGGAGGACATAGTGTAGAGGTGGGACTTCCTCTGTGTGTAGGAGAGAAGCCCTTCTCTGGGCTAAGCTAGGAGACAGGAAGTTTGGTTGTTTTTTGCAGGTGAGTAGCTTCATTTTGGACCGGCAGGAACAAAATGCACAGTTATTTGGAACAGACTGCTTGGATCAGCAGTCCAGTCCTTTGCTATTGCATGTGCCACTTTAATGTAGCCTCACCTCTGTGCCTGGGAAGATCATGGAACAGATCCTCCAAGGAGGTGATTTGAGTCAGCCAGCATGGCTTCACCAAGGGCAAGTCTTGCCTGACCAATCTAGTGGTCTTCTATGATGGAGTGACTGCATCAGTAGACAAGGGAAGAGCCATGTATGTCATCAATCTGGACTTCTGTAAGGCCTTTGACATGATCCCCCACAATATCCTTCTTTCTAAATTGGAGAGATGGATTTGATGCGTGCACTGTTTGGTGGATGAGGAATTGATAGTATGGTCACATCCAGATGGTAGCGGTCAACAGCTCAGTGTCTAGATGGAGATCAGTGACGAGCAGTGTCCCTCAGCGTTCTGTATTGGGACCAGTACTGTTTTATATCTTCATCAGTGACATAGAGAGTGGGATTGAGTGCACCCTCAGCATGTTTGCTGACAACACCAGCCTGAGTGGTGCAATTGACATACCTGAGGGACAGGATGCCATCCAGAGGGACCTTGACAAGTGGGCCTGTGTGAACCTCATGAGGTTCAACAAGGCCAAGTGCAAGATCCTGCACTTGAGTCATGGCAACTCCCAGTATCAATACACACTGGGGGATGAAGGGATTGAGAGCAGCCCTGAGGAGAAGGACTTTGGGGTACTGGTGGACAAAAAGCTGGACATGAGCTGGCAGTGTGCACTCGCAGCTCAGAAGGCCAACCATATCCTGAGCTGCATCAGAAGAAATGTGGTTGGCAGGTTGAGGGAGGTGATTCTGCCCCTCTACTCTACCCTAGTGAGACTCCACCTGGAGTACTTCGTCCAGCTCTGGAGAACTTAGCACAAGAAAGACATGGACCAGTTGGATTGGGTCCAGAGAAGGGTCACAAAAATGATCAGAGGGATGGAGCACCTCTCCCTTGAGGAAAGGCTGAGAGAGTTGGGGTTGCTCATCCTGGAGAAGAGAGAGGGAGACCTTTTATGTTATGATTTCACAGTGATATTTTAAAATACGCAGTTTATGGCTTGAATACTTGCTATGAATGTGTGACTCTGTGTTTATTCTGTTTAATAAGATCTTTTGGTCCTTCTTCGACTTTTCTCTAATGATTGTTTCATGGTAACTTATTTCCATGAGTGATTATCACAGTGTGTAGGTCTCCTAGTAACCTTCCTGTATGAATTGTTTTACGCAGAACATATTTGTCTTATCTTTAGCTAGTTCTTTGTCTTTCCACTCTTGTTTTAATCTCCACACTGAAATGTTTGGCAGTGCTCCTGAAAAATGTGATGGGTTCAGATGGGAAAGTAGCTAGCATACAACTAACATTTATTTTTGATGTAAACAAAATCTTTTTTATTAATTAACAAGCAGAGATAAAAGCCGTATGACAAATTCCACAAATAAAATAGTTTCCTGATTTAATGTACATGATGAATTAAGCCATTTTAAAATCAAGACTATTTTGCATTTGCGTTTTTTATTAAACGTGTTACTAAAACTTCATGTTAACATACTGAACCAGAATGCAAGTTTTTTAAAAAGTCTATTTGAAAGAATGTTTTATTAATGATTGTATGCATTAATTAATCTTCAGAGCAATTTTTTCGTGTGTGGTTTTTTTTTGTTTGTTTGTTTTTTTTTTAAATCATCTTTGTTTTCATTTACTGAACCTAGTGGAGGAAACTAAATTTGTGACAATGGGTCTGACATTTCACTTCCAATCAACTTTTTCCTGAATTTTGCTTTTATCTTCTAGTATATGGTGACACCAGAATGCAATAGTGATAATGAGAAATATTTCCCTAAATAATATTTAAGTACATATATCTTCAGTGTCTTTGATTAAATTAATTGCAGGTCTAAATTCAAGGGAGTTTAGGTGATATTCTTATCACAACTGTGTAAAGAAGTTTGCAGCAATGCAAGAATAGAATTTGATTAAAATGTTTAGCCAGCTATAACAGGAATGTAATGCCAGACACTTACAGTGTTTGCTTCCTATTTAGGTGCTGCCTACAACTTATTGTAGACTGTCCGAGTGCTATTCAGGAGGAGCTAGATCTCATTCGTGCTCTCAGCTACCTTGAAGAATTTGGCGTGAAAATATTACCATTACAAGGTACTTCATATTTTCATTATTTACATGGTTACTTGAGTCACGGGCATAAATATACATGACAAATAGTTCACTGTTGCATGAGTAATCTAAAGGGTCCCTTTTCTGCCTCAAAAAAGCTTTCAGGCACATAACAAAAATGAAAAATGTTTTTTAAAAAATTGGTTTATGTGGGATAAGAAAGATATCTGTGTATGGAATCTGTGTTTTGGGACTTATTTTTAGCAGGATTTAACAATTAAGAGTACTGAGTATCTGAAGTTCCTGGTAACTTCAGGAGAAATAGTTTGAGCTCACCTTTTATTTCCAAAATAATCTGCACTTGCTCATGTGCTGATGAGCTTTAAAATAATGGGTAGGAGAGAGGTATTTCATGGGTAGGCAGTTTTCAAGGCTCCACTGGGCTGTTTCATTTTGAAGTACATAGAATGCAGTGACAATGGAAGTGAACTTTTACAAGGTATTTCTTCTGACGACTTGTTTAAAATTTCAAATCTGTTTTGTATCTCTCCAATCACATGGAAAGTTGTTGGACAGAAGTTGGAAAGAAAGAATGATTGCGGACAATGAGATAAAGGGGAAAATGAAATATATTGCAGTATAGTTTATTGCTTCTAGATTGTTCCAAACTAACAAATTCCATTGCTTTTTTAACAAAACCTTCATTTTTCTAAGTGAGAGAAATACGAGAGAGCTCATCTACCTGGCTTTCAGTGAAGGTTTAATGTATGGTATGTGGGCAACTATGTGAAACTGCATGAACACCCTAAACACACTGCATGAAAGAACCCTAAAATAAGGGGCTGAGAAGAGCACTGAGTACAATGAAACATGCTGATAGTAGTGTTTTACTTCTGTCATTGTGCAGAGAAATACTGTGATTTAGGGAAAATACTCGTGAGTCTATGGAAATAAAGCAGATGTTGTTAGTGACTTTGTTACTTTACTTTGGTGTTCTTTTTTGATTTGTTTTGTTTTTTTCTTTTCCAAGTATTCCTTTAAAGTGAGCTGATGCTCCATGCATTATATTCAGGAATCTTAACAATTTCTGACTGAGAAAAAGTATGGTTTCTAGATCTTGCAATATTGCACCATTGACTTCTACAGCAGAATTACTTTTTAGTCAGTTTGTTCAGCCTGTAGAAAAGTACACGTGCATTTTCTTCATCTTTTTCAGTGTGGACATGAAGGTATCTCCTAAAAAAACCCAAAAAAACCCCAGTGGAAACTTGATACAAAAAAAAAACCAACAAAAAAAACCAACCAAACAAAAACCCAGTGGAAACTTGATATTGCATTAACAGTATGTGTAATACAACTGATCTAGATTAATTAGAATATATGAAATCATGCCTGTAATTTCATTAATGATTCTGACTTACCCTTTCTTCAGTATCATGTGAATCTATTTCATGTAAATCAAATTCATCTAATAAGATTAAAATAATGTTTTAAAGTTTTAATGAAAACTCTTAAATGGTCAGTTACTTTGGTAGAATGTCATTAAAATTACATTAAGGTCAGTTATTGCCACAATAAGAATTAGCAGTAGACTTTTATTTGCACTTTTATGTTCAGTTTTCTATAGAGCTTCCCCCTGTACTTGTATTTTTAGCAAACTTGGCAGTTAAGGTTGTGAACTACTGTTATGATGTATTTTAATAAAATCTGGTTTGGAGACTCCTTATTAACATAAAAGGTGAAGAAAAGTCCATCTTTAATGAAAATGTTTGACCCATGGCTTTATTTCAAATTACTTTCAGTTATGTTAGATATTTTAAAAAATCTTACTTATACAGTCAGTGAACGAAAACATTTTACTGCTCTATAGTAATATATGTGTGGTAGAATATAAAAAGAAACTAAAAGTGTAACGTTTTCTTGCTCCTCCATTCTTTATTCATTTTAGTCTAATTTGATTTTCAGAACTTACTAATAGTTTAATGCGGGTGCTTCTTTGTTCTTATTGAGAGCCATAGTATCATGTATTTTAAGCCCAATATGTTAATGTAGAATTTATCCCCCATGCAGACATTAATGTCTTACTGAGTGTTAAATGGAAGATCTATATGCTGTTCCTCTGTGTTCTGAGGACTTGCATGGTATGAAAATGTTACCTTTTTAAAGCAGCAGACTGAAGTTAGCCACCCACTAGCTAGCTAAAAAGAGCACTGAAATTGGTTCATTATTTTCAGTTATTCAATTAAGATAACTGTTTAATTCTTGATAAAATCTTTTGGAAACACAATATTAATTGTAAGTTTCTCAGGATATGGTTAACACAACCTGCTCAAATGCAGTGTGAAAAAGTAGTTATTTACAGCATTCTAAATGAAAGTCAGTGTCTGTTTTAGCAGTGTTGCTGAGAATGTTACAGAAATTATATTTAAGAAAAAACACATAAAGGCATATAGTTAGTCAGATAAATTTTAAGAGTTTGAGTCTGAAAACCTGAAACAAAAGTAAGTTTCTTTTACAGAATCACAGAACTGCTGAGATTGGAAAAGACCTTTAAGATCATCGAGTCCAGTCATTAACCTGACACTGACAAGTGCCCAACTAACCCATGTCCCACTATGTCTAGATGACTCTTAAATCCCCCAGGGGTAGGGACCCCACCACTGCCGTGGGCAACCACTTCCAATGCCTGAGAACCCTTTCAGCAAAGAAATTCTTCCTCAGATCCAATCTAAACTTTGAGGCCATTTCCTCTTGTCCTGTCACTTGTTACTCGGTTGAACAGACCGACCAGTCAGTATCTGTCTTCTCCCTCCCTTCCCAGCCTGGCTTGCTAGTAAACAGATTGGATATATTGTAGTGTTATTTTAACTTTCTGTTTATAGATCTAATTGTGGATCTGTGTACAAGTAACTTTGGACTGGTTGTCAGATTGTGTTTGAATTCTTATGCTCCCAAGCACTCTTTCTGTGTCTACGTTGTTTAACAAGGAACACAGCAGTAGGGTTCATTTTGTATCGTTTGTAACACTGGTTCTTCTTTCAACAGTGCGTTTATGTTTGGATCGACTTAGCCTCATCAAGGACTGTCTTACTCAGATGTCAGCAAACTATAAGCAGTCTGCTAAGCTCCTGGAACTTGCAAATTTGCTGAGGGTTGCAGGTAAGCTGTTAAGAAGGCACTGAATTACAATGCAATGTTTATTTGTCTTATGCTTTAGGACATTTGAGTTGATCATTAGAATGTGTGTTCAAGAGTATCACCAAAAAGTCATCTGGAAGAGCAGTCATTGGGGAGGAATGAAGTATTGTACATTAATTAAATATTTTTCCTGTAAAACAGCTGATCTTGTCAGCTGCTCTGACCTTCCACTAATACCTAAAATAAAACCAGCCTTGTCTAATCTAGATTTTGAATAAAATCTCATTTCAGATTGGAGAAAATGCGGCTGAGAATATTTTGTCTTTCAGTTAATTGGTATTATTAAAACTCCTGAAAATCTTATTATCTCTGTCAGTTAAGGTAGTTTGATTTAATAATAGTCTCATTTAAGATATAGGGGGAAAAGTCATCTATGATGCATAAACTCTTAAACTTCTGTTGTTAGACTTTTGTCTGTGTTTCATGTATCTCCTCTGTGCACTAAAAATAATGTGCTAGCTCCAGTATTCACTTAGAGCTAAACATCTTCAAGGATTTTTTTTTTAATTTTTTTATATTTTTTTTTTATGTATAGAAGAACACGAGTATGATTTTGGAAGGAGAAGAGGTTAGGGTTAGAACTGTTGAGATCAGTGTATATTTTAGATAGTGTACCTAAAGTTTCTGGCAGATCTTTTGATTTTTTTGAAAAATATTTCATCAGTACAACTGCAAAGACTATACTGCTATATTCTGATGATGTAGAAATATAAAATAGAATTTCATATTTCTTGCAGTTTGGTATATAAAATCAGTTTATTCTGACTTTGTCCCTGATGCATACCTGGCTAGTTCCTTTATCTCTGTTAAATCATTTAAGATTTTTTGAATTTTGTTTTCAGGATTTTCAGGAGGATTAGTAGTGGCAATTTTTGCATAGGTTTCTATATAAGGAGGGAGATATTCAAGGGGATTAGGTGAGGTTATGAACAGAGGTACAGAAATTACGTTGTTGACCTCCCAAGATGCTGGGTCATAAAGAAAGGAATCACTGAAAACGTCACCATAACTCTGGTAAGCTTGGTGCTCCTGTTACGTAGTGCTGCTACGTGAAAGATGGCAGAGGGTAGGAGATGGTACCTTGCTAGGTAGCTGGATCCAATCTACCTATTTGTTCATTTGACATGTAATCTCCTGTTTTGTAGAAAAACTAGAATGACAGTCGTAACTTCTTTTTTTTTTTTTTTTTTTCTTTGCTTGAAAGACTTTTGGGGAAAAAAACCTCCATATTGGTTCCTAAGACAAGACTACTGTACAGCGTTTTCCCTTTCCTCTCTACTTTCTCCCACATCAGGTTAAAATCTGTCATTTTTTCTTCTTAATATTTTGAATTCTTCAGTTTAATGCTGCTTATTTTTGTTTTACCGCCTTTTTGAATCTAAATTATTCTCTTTGTATGAGAGAAGGAAAAGGAAAATCCAAAGTGATTCTATGAAGCTTAAAAACACAAATATTTTGTCCAGCAGTGTTATTCTAGTGCCTTAGTTGTAGAACATCATCTACAGTGCCCTGGCATGTACCTTTGAACAGGGAACCGATGTGTGGCTCCCATCTCCAGAGACTGAAAGATGAGAGGCAATGTATATTAGGTAGAGAACTTTAGGGAATTCATATAGAGCTCATTGATATGGTAATGTCTGTGTGCTAGTGTAATAATCACAGTGGCACTTACTGACATCACTGAAATGAGAGATTTAAGAGAGTTGATGAAATGGCCTCTGATTTTCTCTTCCATGTGTTTACTGGCAAAAAACAGATGAATGTGCAAGGTGGTTAATTTTTAAGCAGGTGAATGATTTAAAAACCACTACTTATGCTACAAATTACGTATTTATTCTAAGAGTGTTGGACTCTGACTTTAATGGTTGACCTTGGGAATAATACTAACAGTTGTCCCTCTGGTAAACATGGAATTTTAGTAGTGAAAGTATATTTCAAGAGCAAACTTTAGTAAAGAAAGCACTACTTCATACTTGTTTTTCTTGTCTGTATGCTAAATAAACAAATAACTCAGTCACTTTCAATGTTATCTTTTGATTATAGAATAGCATTTATTTGAAAGGAAAAAGTAGCAAGAAAACATTTTCAGTACTGACTTTCTGTGGTGGATGTGGTATTGATTTTTGGTTTTGGGGTTTGTTTTTTTTCATAGTGTGGTGGCATTTTGGGGGGTTTTAATTTTTTTTTTTTTTTTAAATAAGTAGTTTTAAGCTTTTGTGGTTAAAATCCCTTTCACTGTCACTGAGGGATGATTAGTCGTATTACTTATATAAAAATACTGTTTTCTGTACATAATATTCATTTATAAGCAAGACAGATTCAATATGAGAATGCAATAGTTGGGAACTGTATCTAAACTTATTTGTTGTAGGCAATGGGCTATGGAAAACAGGTTTCTTTCCTTTTAAGAATCTCAGTATTTCTTTAATCCTGTTTAGTTTTTCTGGACTTGAAAGCTATAAACAGCATACCACTATTACTGCAGACTTTTTTGTGTCTGACATTTCATCCCATTGACAAGTATCTAGAAGAATATCCAAAAGCATACAAAGGAAATATGATTGTCATCACTATTTTAAAGCCATGCATGGAAATGAAATATTTTTGCAACAAATAAAAGAAAGTCTGTAGAGCTTCACTCTTTAGTCCTCAATTACTGCTGTGTGTACTTTCAGTGAGTGCTGGAATAGGTAACCTTACACTGAATTTGAACTTGCATATGATTTTAATAGCTAGGTTAATAATACCCTTAAAAACAGATTTTAAGTGGAAAGCTGGCATAGCCTTAACCATAGTCAGTAAATTAAAGGTCTCATAAAATTTAATAGTAGGTATATACAAAAAAAAAACATTAAATCAAGACACATAGAAATGGTAGTTCTGTATCTATTGACTCGTAATTTAACTTATTGAGTTATAATTAATTATCAATACAGTGAAAATGTTTTTGTAGGACTTGAGTAGCCATAAGAATGATAACAAACGCTAATAATATTCCACAAATCGTTGTGTAGCCAAAAGGGCAGCTCATGCATACGAATTTTAAGATTCATTAATAAGTATATTTTATTTTAAACTGAATATTAGAAAAGGAAAACCTTCCTTGCGGTTTTAGCACAGATAGTCCCTATTACTGCGTTTAAAACTACTGGGAAAGGGTAACTTGATTTCTAACAGCTTATTATGAAAGGGAATGGTTTTATGGAGATACATTGGGATGAGGATGGATATTGAAAAAGAATCTAGGGAGTGAACTTTATGGACTTGCTTAATGAAGAATTAGATAAAGTGCTGCTGGAAGAAAGAATTGGTTTTTGTCCCTAATTGTTTTTCACTACTTACACAATTATCCTGATTTATGAGCCACCTTTGCTGTGAAAGAAGTTCTCATTTTATCTTGTGGAACATATTTACTGGTATTGGTTATGCGTGCTCCAATTTGCAGTCCCTTCTGTTCCCAGTCCACTGTGTGTATCTATCAGTAGAGTGCTTTCTTATGCTTTATCTGCTAACTGGAGGAATTTGTTTCAGCGTTTCCTGCTCTTTTCCCACTCCATCTTATTACTGATTTTGAAAGACCTACTTGCTACATCTATTCACACCTATATAAATTTTATATGTGTGTGTATATATATAGAGTACATAGTATGTAAAGTATATGCTATGTTATTCTATACATACATTTAGCCTATAAAATACTATAAGCATATATATTTTAATTTAAATTCTAAAATAATATATCTGTTATGCATACAAGAGTGCATGTGGTCATCTAGGGAGCTTTGGGAACTGTGTAAACAGTTTGTTTAGAGAGCAGCACTGAAAGTGAGTAACAGAATTTATATTCATACTTATCAAAGCTACTATATTGCTTAGGTAATGGTATATCAGCTAGCTTATTAATTGCTTTAAAATATTTGATTAATGACAGTAAACTCTACTTAAACCTCACATCACTACCTCTGTAAAGTAAGCACACAAGTGTTATCTTAATTTCACAGATGGGCAAAGTGAGTGAGGGAGAATGTGCTCAGCATGATAGCCAGAAAATCTGCACCTGCTCAGCTCTTGTACAGCTCACAATCCTCACTTAAGAAATGAATTCACTTTAAGTAATTACTTGCTTACAAAATACAGGAGCAAAAAAGAGTAAAAAACAATGCTTCTGTATCAGAAATTAAGACCATCTTTTCTACTATTACTGTGTATCAAAAGGTCTAGCGAGCATTGCTCTTTATTTATTGAGTCAGGCTGTCTAGAAATGTTTTCTGTCCATTATTGTCTTTTCTCACAACTTTCTATGGTAATTTAGTTAATTTTAATATCTGTAAGCTAAATCTAGTAACTAAGCTTTGTTCACATTCGTAAGTCAAAGCTTATTTTTGAAATCCACCTTCTTCAACACTGACTTTCTTGCTTAACGTATGTGTAAGTAAACATACAGATGGTTTCTGTTCTCCTTAAATGTAGGTGACATTCAATTTCTGGATTATACATACAGTTTTGATACCATGTGACTTCTAGGCTTTTATTACATGGTTTCACTCAATATAATGTTACATCCACTCACAAATATAGCATGCATCTTACTCAGTGTTTCAATAAGCTTTTTTTTGTTTTTAATATGATCCAAATTGGATCCAAACTTGAAAAATTTGAACATCCTTTATTTTTCAAGAAAAAAATATTTTCTGTTATTTCTGAGCTTCCATAATTTTCCTTTCATAATTTGGAATGGAATAATGGGATCATTTAGGTTGAAAAAGACTTTTGAGATCAAGTACAACCAAAACCTAACACTAAACAGGTCCACCTCTAAACCATGTCCCTAAGCATCACATGTACACATCTTTTAAATACCTCCAGGAGTGGTGACTCAACCACTTCCCTGGGCATTCTGTTCCCATCCTTAATAATCCTTTCAGTGAAGAAATTTTTCCTAATATCCAATATCCTAAACCTCCCCTGGTGCAACTTGGGGAAATTTCTTCTTGTCCTGTCGCTTGTTACTTGGGAGAAGAGACCAACGCCCACCTTGCTACAACCTCTTTTCAAGTATAGAGTCGTATCTGCTTGTAGCAACTTCTATCTGAATGCTAAACATCATAACAAAAGGAGATGGAAAGAACTTCAGAGGCTTAAGTCTTACTGAGTGGTGGTATTGCCCTTAGAATGTAAATACATTTTCCTTAGAACCTAAGGAGGCAATAGTCCAAAGAAGCTGATCACACACAGACTTTCACAAATAATAAAAGGGAACCAAAAACTAAGATGTCCTTTCCAATTTCTGAACTTGATTTGTTTGAGTCTGGATGTCAGACATTAACATTAATGCGGAATTACTATGTAATATAATAAGGTCACCATTTTGGTAGGTTTTCCTCATTAAATCTTTCTTGGTTTTAAACCTTGACTGTCTGTTAAAATGGCAAGGAGAACAATTTAGAAATCAAAACTTTCACTTTTATAAGACTTTATTGTGAAAAATGCCTTCAAATGAGGAGTCACAAGTCCGAAGCAGTGAATTTTTTCATGTTTGAATAGAAGAACAAGACCCTGCCGCTAATCTGCAGCAGGTAGTATTTTAAGTGACTGCTCTGTTGAGGCAATGAAAGGTGTGTGAAAAAGGGCTTGGGCTGTGCGTTGCAGGGGATTCACTAGTCATGTTGGAGCTGATGGTTGTTCTGTGGCATAACAGCATGTGTCAAGATAATGGAAGTGTAAATGAGTGAACAGTGGAGATAAGATGAGCAAGTATAGCTGTGGACAATGCTTATATATTACACTTTTGCTGTTGTAAAACGTGCAGAGATGTATCCTGCTGCATCAAAACTAATTAGCTAGAATGTTGGGGATGGGGGACTTGTCAGCATGTGACAGCTGACAGCTCAAGCACAGTTAAGAAAAAGTTCCTTTCTCTTAAATGTTCCTCTTCCCTCCAATCCCTCTGATTTTTTAGTAGTAATAAGTAGCAGTGATTATTTTGTCTAGCTCAAATTTGAGGGACAATAGTTTGATTATTTCTCTTGCCTTTTATTTGTGTCTGCTACTTAGTGAAATCTCTCTGTAAGTAGTAAAGCTGTCAGGGTGAAGTAGGCATAAAAAGGTGAGTGGCAAGTACGAATCTCTTGCTTATAGAACTGACAGTTCACATTTAGCTTGTCTAGATAGAAGCACCTCTTTGTCATCTGTAATTGCTTTTGCCCGGATGAGAAGTTCCCAGGTTCCAGAGAGCAAAGTTTTGCAACAGAAGAGCCTTGGATGTGATTAATTTGCAACATAGTGTGTTGGCAGTATATAGAGCAAGAGGACAAAAGATAAAATGATGGGAAGCCAACCTGTTCTCCCAAGTTAGTTATGACGTGCCAGGAGTAGGAGAACCTTGATGGAGTTCAATAATTAGGGTAACTTCACTTCCCTGAATGTCATTCTAGTGCAACTGCTACATCTTTTCTTTTGAGAAAGCTTTAAAAAGAAATTTGCTTTGCCTTCATTGATGCATCCGCAAAGTAGATTTAAAAATAACAGCTATGGAATTTAAGAACATGTACTCTTTAAATGGTTTTTGGAACAAGATCTATTTAACCTTCTGAAATATTTGCATTTCACAAGTTGTAGTAATACAGTTTCATAAACCAGTGCCCTTTTCAAATGACTGTAACAGCAGTAACTGCATAAAATCGCTTTAAATAACAGGGGAGAAACATGAGCAAGAAGCTTGCATTGCAAAAAATTTTTATTAGCTTCTTGCCATCCTTCTTTCCTAAATTAAAATCAATAGTGAGAGATTATTTTTTCAGTGTATGTTTAGTCACCTTCTTATATAGTGCATGGACATATGCACTATTTTGAGTACAAGCCTGGACCAACTGGTGTCAGTAAAGTAAATAATTTTTGTTCTCTTATGTTCGTTCTAATTTGGAAAAAGCTTAAAAAAATTAAAAACAGATGACAGGTAAAGGTTGACAGGTATAAATGTTATTTGTATTGACTGTAACTGGCTTTGAAAAGGAGATGAGTTGTCAGATCAGATTTCCATCTGTGAATGCTGATGTATTAAAATTAAGGTCAGGACACTTTTCTATAGAGATTCTTGATGGTCAGAAGAGTTCAGTAGTGTCTGAAGTGTTTCTTTTGACTTATAACTGGGGGAAGAGGCTTTGTCCAGACAGTCCAGTGACCAAGATGCATGTATAATGTGAAAAAACAGTTTCAGTTCTGCTCACTAAATCTGTTATGGTAGGGATTTTTAAATACCTGTGTCTTCGACATCTTATGAATTATTTGGCTCCGTGAAATGGGGGTTTAAACTGAAGCTTTGTATGCTTTAACAAAACAATACAAATTTCAAATTTCTTCTGCTATGACAGTTCACAGAAGGTTTGTTTTGGTTTAGTTTTTTTTGTTGTCAATGACAGGATTTTGAGTTGTGTCCCTTACCTTAAATACCAGTTTTCATCTATGTCTTGGCCATCACATAAATAGTTTTCAAAACTTTCTTTTTTTTTTTTTTTTTTTTTTTTTTTTTAAACCTAGACTGAACATTCTGTGTAGGTTTTTTGCCAGCTATGTTGACAATGTTTTTTAAAATACAGAACTGTTTTTATTTTTTTTCCTTTTGGAAAAAAGCAGATAACTTTATTTCTGCTTCATTTTCAAGTTTGGCTTTTCATGTTGTGGCATATAGTTTTTTTAAGAAATAAAGCAACAAGGTTAAGCTGACCATTAATTCAAGTTAACTAATAAAAATGTTGATTTTTATTTATTTATTTATTTATTTATTTTTAATTACAGGAGATGATCAGATGGAGAGAAAAGGTCAAGTTTTAATCCTTTTAGTGGAACAAGCTCTCAGTTTCCAGGACTACAGGGCAGCTAGTATGCATTGCCAAGAGCTCATGGCCACAGGTGAAGTGAATAATGGGGAGTGGTGTGGGGTGATGGTGGTGGAAATCTGAGTTCTGACTCTGGGCTTACTGTGAGGTATGGTGCTTTGGATTGGTCAGTTTCATTCAAAAATCAGTTCCATTTTGTCAACTGATGTAAGCACATCAACTGTAGAAGGCAGGTGGTATGAAATATGACAAATCCTGTTGCCATGGAGGAGGAACTCCATGTAGTCATGGAACTACAAAATACTTAAGCCACAGTAACTTCTGGAGTAATATTATCTTTTTCTAATTCAGTTTAGTTCACTGAGATCTCTCAATTGAATTTGCATACTGTCATTCAGGTAATGCTTTATTTTTTGTATCAGAAGCTCAAAAATATATCCTGGTAGGGATTCCATTTTTAATTGTCTTCTCAGTACATTTTTTTTCTTGTAAGAAAGCAAAGGAAATTTGTGTTGTTGAAATCCCATTTACTATATTTTGATAATAAGTTTTTGTTAATAAATGTTCATGTGTAACACTATTAAGTTTAAACATGTATGTTGGTCCATACACATTAATTATCATTTATACATAGTCATGTTTCTTTTCAGTAAAGTTCTTTATGCAAACATATCTTAAGATGTGTTTCAGTTTGCAAAAGTTCTTTCACATAATGTAAAATCTTCCTCTGCGGTCGCTATCCCACTTGTTCATCTCTGGAAATAATTATAAGAAATAAAATTTTGTTTACCAGCTGCATAGGGGTCAGGGGTCTTGTATTTAGTTTTCAGTCTGAAAACAATATTATAGTATATAGTAATAAGTGCTGACTTTTCTTTTTTACTAAGTTGTGTGCACATTATAAAAGACAGTTCAAGTATCTTTAAACTGGAGAGACATTTGCCAGGTCCATTTGGATTATCTCCAAACTTAATTTCTTGGCTTTCTGACAAAAGATGTATGTGATGTATAGGAGCTGATGAGACAAGGTGATGGCCACATTCTTGTAATCGCCTCGTAATGCGGGAAAAATAGATCCTAGCTGTTTGACATTTCTTTTGCAAGACAAAAAACCAGAGATTTTTTCTTTTTTGCCATATGTAATGCACAAATACATGGAATGGAGATGTACACAGCAAATACTAGATGTAGTAAGATAGTTACTGAACTATTAGACATGTAACCTTAGGGAGCTTTTCTGTATGCCCCTGGGAACCACATTCTTTCCACGCTGTACCCCTTTCAAACAGGTAAAAATATGCGACTGCAACTAGTAAGAATGTGCAGGTTCCTTTAAATGTCTACCTTTCTATCAAACCTCTTAAAATATTTGTTTGAATGAGGGTATGAGTGGAGGTAAATGACATATACGCGTCAAGATACTAAGGAAGATGAAAATTGTTTCTTTGGCTCTTTTTTTCTGCCCTGAGGTTGAGGGGGGTAAATCTGAGATGAATCTGAGTTCTTTTAATTATATCAAGTGATATATTTTACTCTTTTTTTGCAGCCAGTCCAGTAAGGTATTTAATATCATGCTCTGAAGTAAATTATGATTTTCTTGTTGCAATATGTAAAAATATAGTGTATAGGCTTACAGATGCCTATTGTACTGATATCTACAATATGATAATAGTGAATCCTGTATAATAATAATAATCCTGGTCAGTCTAAAATTGAGTTACGTCTCAGTTTTATGGAGCCTTTATGGTTCCTTTCTCAGGGGATGTTAAGTGTTGGCAGGAATACCACATACCCTCTTTTATCTCATTCAGTAGAGAATTATGCAGTGTCCTCCTATCACTTGTGATGCTTACCAACCTCAGAAGTATGTTTTGTGGTCCCTTGCAGGTTATTCTAAAAGCTGGGAAGTATGCAGTCAGCTTGGGCAATCAGAAGGCTACCAGGATTTGTGTATGCGTCAGGAGCTCATGGCTTTTGCTCTGACACACTGTCCTCCGAGTGCCATAGAAGCATTGCTGGGAGTGAGCAGTTTGTTGCAAACCCAGGTTGGTGTTTCTGAAACTTCTTTCATGCAAGTTCAATGCTTACCAAAGTAAAGGGGACTTGTGCTCATTTTTAAGTTTGTTTCTTTAAGTTCTACACCCCAGCAAGTTTATATTTGTTCTACTGTATTTTTCTGCTTTCACTGTTAGGTCTCTTTATAAGCATTTTTATATGATGAATTGGCTTCTGAAGTAGAAGTACAATTGTGTTCTCAATCTTCAGTACTTTTATTTTCTTAATTTATTGCCTGATTTAAACATTTTATTTGAAAGTGCAATTAAATAATTTTTTTTCAGTGTGTTCCAGGTTCTGTCACCTGTTTACACTTTGTAATGCAACTTCATTAAATGCCCACATAAATATCTATTAAATGTTTATTCTTACTTTTTTACGATCTCTACCAAATATACGATAAAATTTGTTTTTCAGTGATGTCAACCATGTAACAACTGGTTTTAACAACTACAACAGGCTTTGTCTGAGGCATCTTTATTAACTCTGCAATGACTGACTTCTTGATAGAATCAGATCTTAGGTGTTCAGCTGAACATCTTACATGTGTGAGAAGACCTAATTGTGATATTTAAATACAAGTTATGGCAAGATGACATAGCAAACCTTTTGAAAAGTTTTATTTGAAACTGCAGTGCAGTAATTTAGCTTGTCAAAATGCTAAATTTCTTTTCAGTGTAATGGTGGCTTGACCTATGTACCGTTACTTGTTCAAGAGTTCACATTTGTCTTAGTTGTCTAAGAGTTCATAATGTTCATAGATTTATAAAAACATCTTAAGAGGACTTGCATTCTGTACCTGAAGAATGAGGGAGAAGGGAGCAATAGCTACAGTACATATCCAATCTAATTAAGGCAACTGCAAATGCATAGCCTTTTTCTTTACAAAACTGCTTGTATAGCAGTGTGTGTGAGAAATACAGGCAACATATGAAGGCTGTCTCTGCTGATTTAGTAACAGGATAACATCAGAGTAAAATGCTACAAAGGATTTGAAATAAAGTCTAGCTCCTGCAAGTTATTTCCTATTTTTTATGTCATGAAAGCACTCTGATTTGATAGAGGTAGGTACAATTATGAGCTTAAACACAAGTGGAATCTTTGGAAAATTGATACCTTTACAGTATAGAAATAAAAACTTGTTTTCCTCCTTATGTGCCTATACCTGGAATTAGAATTTGGAGTCAAACAAACTTTTGACATGGTGTAAGCCAGAATTTGTTAGATTTTCTGTCAATTCACTACATCTGTATCACCATCTCGTTCCTTCTGAAGGCTTCATGTCCTGATAGTTGCACTTCAGTGCCAGCTGCTCAGCCGCTGGTTATTACCCTCTTCCATCCCACTTCTCCAAGGGAAATGATTCTCTGTCTTCTCCATTCACAAAACTTGCGACTGTTATTTGTTGCTATGGTTTCTTTGTTAATGAAATATCATTTGTAGCAAAAATGTAGTGATGATTAATTTGGTATTTGCTCCAGGAAGCCGAACTCAAGTTGTTACTTCTGTCAAAATATGTTTAATGAGTTTTTTCCTGCAATTACTTTCTCCATAAACTACACCTGAGCATTTCAGCTCTGTTCATGCATGGCCCTACATGTTGGGTCCAAGCACTTCTGTCTTTGTACATAGATAGACACATGCAAAAAACCTTTATCGGAAGATCACACTGACCATACGATGTATATAAATGTCTTCTGTGGACCTTCATCAGTTCTATGGTCTGTGGAAATTCTAGTCACAAAACTATTATTATAGTTATAGTATATTATTTTGTGTGATACTTCCTTCTGTGGAGGTGCCCAGCACCTCAGGAGGCACAGTTCAGATAATGGATGTTTTTCAAGGGAGTTCTTTAGCTTATGTAGTACAGCAGGGTGCATAGAATTAAAATACATGAAAAATATTGCACAAAAATCACAGAGAAATGACTAGGGACTGCAACAGTGAGAGGATGCCTAAGATACCTATGTGTTCATCTCCCTGTCTTCCTTTCCTTTCACTCTTGTTTTTCTATTGTGGAAGCTTTTACATCAGAATTTCTTTGGTTTCCTGTTTTCCTGGGCATCAGTTTTAATTTTTACATTTGATTATTTGACTGGTAAGAGATTATATTTATTTTGTGCTTATAGATTCTTTATCAAGCTGTGAATTACCAGTTTCTTCCTTCAGAAGGAGGTGAGAACATAAATATCACAGGACCTTCTTTGTTGATCTGTAAGGATACAGAGGTAAGCCTTAAAGAGAGTTTTTATAGTAATAATGATTTTGTTCTATGTTATGCTGAAGAGCTGAATTTGAATTTTTAGGAGCATCTACCTGTTTACGAGATAAAATGCACAACATTAAATGCATTGCTAATTTTTGTTCTTGGATTGTTTTAAGTTCAAGGTTTGGCTTATGCATTTATATGTAGATTGTTCTGATTTTTTGTTCCGTCTTCCTTACACGGTCTTAGCACCATAGGAAAAAAAAAACATAAGCCCAGAGGCAGGAGAAGAGTAAAGTGCAACAAAACTTAACACATTAATGTTAGTTTGATTTTTGATTTGTCTCAGTTGCAAAACAAGACATTTGAAAATAAATCTGAGCTACGTATTTAATTAAAAAATTCTTGAATTAAATTTATTTTTCCCCTTTGTTATGTACTTCATGAAGTTTGACTTCTTTGCCATTTTATGACTTTCATAAATTGCATGTGAAATTACTTTTGAGTGTAAGATCAGAAGGAACAGGGAGTGTTTCATGGGAAATAGAAGCAGGGAAACAGGAAAAAGGTCTACTATTATTCTTTTGACTTTTCATGTTTATTATTTTAACAAATTTAAGTGTGTACATGTACAATTGCAAGTACATTTCTCTCTTTAAAGAAGATGCAATAACCCATTTATGAAAGCAAATAATGTCTTTTTCGTCCTCTTCAAAGTGGAAAATTCTAAGTTTAATTTTTTTTTTGCTTTGTTTTCTATTTCAGTTTTTCTATAGGTGATAAACAGATCTTGGGGGGGGAGACATCCAAAAACCTTAAAGAAATACAGGAAAGAATAGGGAAATAAATAAAAAAGGTAGTTTATGTTGCATAGTCTGGCTTTTAGAGAAAAGTATCTGAATTGCAACCTACTAGTGTCATACCCTTGGGGAGATTTTACCAATGACAGCTGTAGGTGGAAGGAGCTAGACTGTGCCTTTGGTGTATTTAACAACATGTGGCTTAAAAAACCCCACACCTCTTCATGGTACTGGAATGAGAACAGGCAACTTCTGTGTATATGTCTATATTTTGTGCATGTTTTTTATATATGTAGAAGCACACATGCATACTTGGTACACATACATGCATATGAAAACATACATCTACATATTTACATATGTAAAAAAAAAAAGGTCAGGAAAGTAAAATGGCACTGAAAACAGTATTCAGAGGAAAAGAGCTAAACACTATGTATCTGCTAGAATCACTGATACGAGGAACAGGTCTGTTAAATGGCACAAATGCTTTTTTATTTTCTGGAAATTGATAAATGAATCTCTCTGAGAGGAATATTATTACGTAGATGTTAATAAAATTGTGAAATCTTCTGATGTGGGTGTGGATATGTATGTTTACAATATTTTAGTGTATCTAACCAATTTGTCATGCAGCACCTTTCAAAAGCTGTAGTACTATTGGCTGTGTGTTGTGGTGGAACAATTATACATGCATATAAATGATTCAGAAACTTATTCAAGGATTTATCAGAGTTGAGTAAACTCACTAATTAACTTCGTTACCAATTAATTCAGTTTGGATATCTGAAGCAATTTTCATTATGCTGGGTAATTCACGTTCAGAAAATTATCCACTCTTTTCTCCAATATATCTTTCATTTTTTAATTATTTTTTTTCCCCTTAGTTGTATTTTGTCTGTTTAGAATTGGAAGTAGGCAAACAGTTGACCTGGCAAGTTTGTATGTTGCTACATTGAGGTTTTTTTCTTTCTGTTTTAATACAGCTTCTTGGCATGTCCTATTTCAGACTGTTACACCATGAAATGAGTTCTGTATATTTGTTAATTCTGTCGTCTTGTTCTCTCCCAGTTGACTTAATAGGGATTTATAGCTTCTTTCATTTCTTGCAATGACACAGGAGGAAACAGCCAAGAATTTAGTCACTATATAACCCTTTCTTTGTTACAGACATATGAAATGTTGGAAAAGCAATATATTCAATAACTCAGTTTCTCTAACAACTGAATCTCATAACTGCAATTCCCATAGTTCTCCTTCAGCTAATTCCTCCTGCTTCACCTTCATTGTTTTGCACAGAATTTCAGTTTCTTCAGAGAAAAAACAAACTATAAGATTTTTTTTTTCCCTTTCTTTTTGCTCCTTTCTTTTTCGCTTATGACCTGAGTATCCGATAGCACTCTTTTCTGAAGCAGTTGACAAATGTTCTTCTTTCTCACTTGTCACCTTTTCAAATTGATGCTCTAAATATAATTTTCCCTATTTTGACTTGACTAAGCTGCTTCTAGCATACATGTGTTTGGGCATCCCTTCCTCTTTTGCATTAAACATACCTATCTGTAAGTATATCTATTTTCCCTTTCAAAGCATTAGTGACCTTTTTCTACCTCTTCTTACCTTTATCTGACATTGAATTATTAGTTGCCATGGTCATTTTTTTCTTTATACCAACCTATATCACCAGCTGGTTATACTTGTCAATCACTCTTCTCTTGATGAACTCCCCTCTAGAAATGTCTAATCTAATTTCATTTTTGTTGTTTTAAGTTTTTCCTGTGAAACTTTTTTCCCATGAAATTTGTAGAAATCTTGATATCAGCTGGCTACATATCTTCATATATTGCCCAGGAATGGGTTATTTAACATTGCTGTCATATTGACTTCAGTATAACTTTTCTCCAAGTTTTTGGTGGTCCTACTCTGAAGGAAATTCCTGATTACAATGATGCTTGTAATTATTCTGTAGGAACTAATGCATTTGTGCAAGAATGTACTTCATTACCTTATTGCCGGCTTGTCACTGTTGATTGAACTCGTGTATCCATTGGAGAAATTATCCTCAGGAAGCTACATTGATTAAGCAAAATGTTGAATTTCCCCAATCCCCACTGTTTTTTCTCTTTGTTGTATGCTACAGATGCCCCAACAGTTTATCTTGTGCTTCTCAAACAAATTATCTCAGTGAGAAAATGAAGGTCTTGATTCATGAAGAGCACTTCAGAATATTATTGCTAACATTACTGAATTAAATTATAATGCTTAGTCACAAGATGCTGTGTTGTGTATAAACAGTAGAAACAATAACCATCAATTGCCTTGTAAAGGAGCTCTGATTTTATGTTAAATCTCTGTAATACTTCAAACGTGAATTATGTCTGTTTTAAGTAAAATAATCCTTTTACATATCTGAATGTGAAAACTTATTTACTGTAGTGTTGCACATTAGCACAAGAGAAATTTGCAGTTTCAAGTTTTCTTGAAACCAAACTCTTTGATAGGAGAGCAGACATAATTTCTAGAAGACATTATCTTCAGGTTATGGGAATGATTTTCTTCAATGTTGCTTAAAGAAAATTTCTGACTATCAGAGCTTTAGCATCTTCTTTGCTTTTGCATTTTTCCCAGGCATTAGATCTGGGAAAAGACAGGATCTTCTGAAATATTTGTGTACATTAAATTAGTCTGTCATGCATTTTTGTCACTGCTGATTAGAAATGATTAGAGAATGTTGTATTTATGTAGCATGCACTGGGAACTCTTCCACCTGGAGTCTTTGGAACCTCAGGGCAAAAATAATGCTCCAGCTGCTGTTTCAAATAGTTGTGATTTTTTTTTTTTTTTTTTTATTTTGCGATTAACTGAAGCTATGTTTTGTGGTGTAATAAATGTACTAGTTTTAATTCTGTAATAACTATATTAGAATTCTTCTTATAGGAATAGGTAGCTGTAATTCCTGAAGGACTCATATTCATTTACAGTGTCACTGAGCTCTTGTGCAGAGAAGGAGAAAAACCTCAGTGTGGAACTCTACATGTGCACTATTTAAACTCCTGTTGTAGTCAGTGGAGATCCAGTCAGTGGCACATAGAAAATAATGCAGTTAATCAGCCATTAGATGCTTGATTCAGTTACTTAATAATAGGTATGAACAATTTGAGATGCCCTAAGTTATTCTCCTGTCCTTTAGCTACTGACCCAAAAAGTCTAGGTCCTCTGTCAGATCTGTAAGTGTTAAACAGATACTTTAATTACTGCTGTACATCTCGGACAATCATCAAAGCCTGTGTTTAAGCAGCTGAATCAAATGCATTGTGTATGCTTAAGGCTGGGTTACTTTTTAAGTTTCAGTGACATTATAGGCCTAATAAGGGCTAAGAGATCCAGTGACACCTGAATTTTAGTGTTGTTATTGTGAGCCGAATCTTTTCCTCAGTCCATCATGTAGGGTGTAGGGTCTGTTTTATCTTTGTAGAGCTGGAGTTTTTGATTAGACTGGCTCATTCACTGTAACATACATTACAAAAAGATTAAAAAAAACCCAACCAAAAAAACCCCCAACAAACCCCAAAAAAACTCCAAAACAACACAACCCAAAACCAAAATGAAAAACCCCAAACCAAAACTGTCCAAGGCACAAAACACAAACACAGAATAAACATGAATACTTATGGAAAAGGTACTATTCTTTTGCTCTGATGTCTGAAATTTTGTCATAAGTTAGTAAGTTGTAAACTAATACCTCACATTCAGTTATATAGGTAGAATTTTTCTATTGGGAAAATTAATATAATTGTTAGGGACAAACATTGGATATAAAGCTGATGAAGTCTGCTGTTTGGAGGAAAATATATTTTCTATTACTGAAGACTGTGTTTACATTAGCGCGCTGATTATATATAAATGTCTAGTGTGTAAGCTTTGTAAAGCATGCAATTAACACAAACTTTTCAGGACTGGAATAGCACTGATCAACCAGCATGAATGTTCTGGGTATGTAAATGATTTACATGAGGAAGAGCTGGTACAGAAAGGTCCATTTGTGGAACATGTCTTCTACTTGTAAGAATTGACTTACATGTGAGTTTACTGAGACTGAGTGAAGACGTTTTGCAGGGTAACATGTACACATATATGTGCATGTATTGCAGTACAGATTGAGAATAGGCTGAGGTCTTGATTCTTTTCTGCAGCCTTTTAGGTTTACTATATTTGGTACCTTGTAAGTGGTACTACAGAATTTCAAATCTTGATGATGCTTTTTCACTTGGTGTGAAGATGAATGTTTACATCTTTTAACCATTTCCCCTACTGAGAATTCAACTTAATTAATGCTACCTCTGTACAAATACAACATTGTCTCTACTATCAGTTTTCTTGAATTATTGAAGATTAATTTTAGCATGCTCAAGCTCCTCATTAGTAGAGAGATCATTATTTTAACAGAAGCATTCAACAATTATGTAAAACATTGTCATTATAAACTTTGGAATTAAAAATAGCTGGTATCTGTGGAAACAAGATCATAGCTGAATAAGGGGCAAAATGTTCTATGATCACACTACTCACTTCAGATTGAAACTTCTAAATCGCTTTTAACTTGTCTTTTGTTGGTTTTCACAACAGCTGTTTCTTAAATTAGTGATCATTAAAATATGTTATTAACATAGTGTGCCTGATTGCTAATGCATTCATCTTTAATTTATTTAATTTAATTTAATTAAGCATGAGTCTTAACGCTTGCCATTGTGTGTTGGATATGCTCACAGGATGACACCAACGTCTCCTCTAGCCAGTCTGCTGATTTGTTGTACTGGACGACATCAAAAACGATGAAGGTGTTGTCTAACACAACTATGACCACAAAAGCCATGCTGCATGCGGTCAGTGATGGACAGTGGTGGAAGAGATCGTTAACTTATCTTCGACCATTACATGTAAGGGATTGTTGATGTGTGTGCAGATGTTTACAAGTTCACTGATACATTAGTATAAAAGCTGGGCTTCTTTACAGGTATCTGAGAACTGCAGACCTCAAATCGTTAAATGAACTAGAGACATTAAGGGATTGTTTGCAATCCCAATGAAAGAAGGGATATAAAGCCATTTCCTTTTTTTCTAATCTGTTTTCTCCTGCTTTTTAGCATAGTGTGAGAAAGCATAGTTGAAATTTGGCAGAACTTCAGAACTTTGGGGAAGAAAGCACAGTGAAGTCCACTCTACTGTCATTTTATAGTCAAAGCTATTCCTTTTCAGTTTCTCTTTTCTACCTTCTCTACTTCAGTGGATTTTCTGTGATGTTTATGGTACTGGTTTCTTTGATACTACTTTTGAGCGGATTCTGTTTCTTTTTTTAAGAATACTGGACCTCATTCAGCATTGGTTTACATAAGATTATTCCTATCTTTCTTCCCAATGAATTCAATTATATTTTCATTCATAGTTACTTCCCTTCTGAACATCAGTTGCAGACTTTTTGTTGAGCTTTTTTTTTTTATTAGCAGGCTCAACTATACTTATTTTTCCCAGGGCCAAGAATTTGGAGATGTATTAAAATGTGGGCCTGGAGAAAATGCCACTGTGGAAAAGCAAGGCTGTCATCCGTTTTATGAGACTCTAATTGCTGACCCATATGTTGCAGAAGTAAGTTTCTGTTACAGAATTCATAAATGTTAGGGTTTTTTGTGGAGATCTTATAATTAATTAACAATATGGATTTTGGATTATTTGTGTGACTTGCAGCAATTTGAGATTTTGTGCAGCAGTAGGGAAAATTCTATCTTTAAACAGAAAGGAAAGCAAATGCAGGAACTGAGGTAGGTAATTGCATCTGATGCAAGTGAGCTAAATACAACTGCAGGGTGTAGTGTGCATGTGTCAGTTATCTTATTTTACTTCTAGTCTGAAATCAGCTACGGCACATACCAGAACAATTCTTTGGAAAGCTTTGCAGAAGTATTGCTGAGGACAGAGAAACTAACAGAAACAAAGAGCGAAGGAAAAGACCTTCTTCCAACTACAGAAGGTATGAATATGGGTATATTCACTCCTATATGTACTATGTATAGTAAATATAGGAGAATCTGTGGATGGGTTTAAATATGGAGAATTGCACACAATGATCTGAAGTACCATCTGAGTATTTTGTATTAATTTTAATCTGGTTCAACATCTTACATTTTTAAGTAGTCTTGATAGAAGTACCTGCAGCAATTTCAAGGGAAGTGGTATTTTTAGGAGTCGCTCAATAAAGACTAGAAATATGAATGGTGACTGTAAATAAGCAGAAACTGATATTTGGGGGCTAACATAGATACAAACGTCAAGGGGGGGAAGAATTGTTGGAGGTTTCCTAAATACTGCCATGTACAGATATTTAAATATTTCAGGGTCATTACAGTATTTTATTTGCTAGTTATTACTCAGCTGCAGTTTCAGTAATCAGAACTTTTTATCTTCTTCTGGAATTTCTACATTTTATAGTTTATACTTAATAATTTGCTAACTGAGAGTTTCAATTTCTTTAAAAAATCCACACACAAAACCACTTATGATTGTTTGTCTTTCCTTTTGTCTGTCTCCTGCTGGTTTAAGAAATGAACTGTTTAAATATCTACATGCTGTTACTGTCTTTTGAAGGAAGAGATCTGTATTATATTTTACTCAGTGGTAAGTTCTTGAGTGTATTAAATCACTTGCAATAATGAGAAAAGTTACATTTGAGACTTTCTTAATAAGCCACACCATTTTCTTTCAACTGTTTAGTGAAAACCAGCATATTTCTCTTACAGGTATATGATTCAGTAGTTTGAGATGTGAGATAGCCGGTACAGTTGTAATACAATAACATTGTGAATTAGAAAAGGTCAGCAGCAACTGTTATAAATGAGGATGTACTCACATTTTGTTGCTTTCATGCTCTCTTAACGCAAAAATAGTTTTAAATCAGGACTTTCATGATGTACTATGATCCTTTTTTCTTGCATGCTGAAAACCCATAGGTTTCTAACTCTGCTGTCTGTGTCTTAAAGGAGGGGGAGTAAAGGATTAAAAAGTATTCATGGCTTTCTTACAGCAAGTTATGTTAGTGGGCAAATCTTTGCTAATACTTCCTGCTACAACTTGGGTAATTGGAACTGAATGTTTACAATTTGGTGGCTGCCCTTGAGATGGAAGTTTCAGTTTTGGGGACTTTTACTTGAATAAGAAAAGAAATTTGAGATTCTGGCTTTAGATTTTGAGCCTCTACCCTTCCTACTTGAAAGTGTGGTTTTTTTTATGGTTTTCATCATTTTAATACTTCTGTTTTCTTCCACCATTCTTGTTCTGTAGTCAGTCTGAGTTTCACTTATGGTCCCTCTAACTGTACTATGGAACTGAGAGTTCTGTGTTTTCCTCTGGAAAACTGAGCTATATTTGTTCTGTACCTAGCAGTCCTGGTGTATGACACCTTTCGGTAGTCAATAGACAGCATTAGTTGTAAGTATACATAAGTGTAACAGCTTTCTTTAAATGAATGGATTGGCAATTTGCTAATTCTAATGTATTGAGCTCTGGATTAACAGTATTGGATCCCATCTCTCCCCTTTCTTAATGCTTTCATTTATCATTTCATAGAATCATAGAATGGTTTGGATTGGAAGGGACCTTAAAGATCATCTAGTTCCAACCCCCCTGCCATCAGCAGGGACACCTTCCACTAGACCAGGTTGCTCAAAGCCTCATCCAGCCTGGCCTTAAACACTTCCAGGGAGGGGGCATCCACAACTTCCTTGGGCAACCTGTTCCAGTGTCTGACCACCCTCACAGTGAAGAACTTCTTCCTAATGTCTAATCTAAACCTATATTTCCCATGGAAGTTCTTATGACAAGTTAATGCTTTTAGGAGTGTGGAGTTTGAAAATGCATGTAGTAATAGCATAATGCCAAAATTTAAAAAAATCCCATAGATATGAACCCTATTTATTATTCTGTGTTTTTTTTCCCGTATTTTCAGACTTTCTCTAAGGTTTTGTAGGAATTTTGCCTTATGAAACTTGAATGGTAATATGAGTTATTAGCTACTATACCAGTACCTAACAAACATAGCAGATTTCATTTAATTATGCTGACAAGTTTGTGTCCCATTTATTTTCTTCTAGCTGTCTTCTAGGACAGCTACAGCAGCAGGTTTCAGCTCCTTTAGAAGAATCAAAGAACCTGGGAGAAGATGCAGTCTAGCAAAGAAACTCTAGTTGTACTTAGCATGTTGTCTTAGGAGATGTTGAAGTATGTATCCGACTCTGTTCCTGTTATTATTGTGGTGTTATACTCCAGGTGTGAGGGGAATGAGTAAAAGCTTTCCCCAGAAGCAATGTGCATGAAACTCAATGTTTGCTGCTTCTTTGTGGCTTTGGTAATGTCACAAGCCTTGGACTTTGACCTTTCTTCTCCTTTCTATCTGAAAATGGGTGGTAGACTGAGCATTTTCGAGTGGAGTGGTAACACCCATCACTTTGGGACCAGTAAAACACTCCTTCCTCATTTATGCCATTACAGCGTATCCAGACTCGGTGTGACCCAGGCAGTGCTGTGCGTCTCTCTTCAAATGTTGTTGTCTTTCTCTAAAGCCCTTAGGGATTTGGTAGGGTGGTTGAAGATGAGATATGAGCACAAAGTTACTGCAATTGATGGCTGCTTTTCATTGTAACTAGATTAGGTACTAAGCTCAAAGTAAACCCAAGAAAGTCAGTCATACCTATTAATCCTCAGGAGTTTTAGAACAAAGGAAAACTTAATGTTTTGATGATTTTTAATTGCTTAGAGATGTGGCTGTTTAACTGCAATATATCCTCCTATAACTTTTGTGAGATTTTTTTCACATGCTAAATGAACAATTGAAGACTTGAAGCAATTTTTTTTTCTGATGATTTTTAATTGCTTAGAGATGTGGCTGCAATATATCCTCCTATAACTTTAGTGAGATTTTTTTCACATGCTAAATTAACAATTGAAGACTTGAAGCAATTTTTTTTCCCTTTTTTTTTTTTTTTTAACACATGGAAAGAGTTGAAACTTCCTAGATATTGATAAATTCCAGTTTTTCATATACAAACCATTTTCTTCCTTACTTTGCCTTACAGAAAGCCTTGTGACATAAAGTAAAGACCCGCACAGGAAATAAAATAGTATTTTTTATTATTCATAAAATCAATTTTGTGTATGTGTGTTTTCCTAAGGAAATATCACCTGTGGGAAAACAGCATTGGCTTTTTGCGCCTCACTGCCTGTCCTCCCTGGTTTTCCAACCCTGTATCGTTAAATCCTTTTGACAAATACCAATTTGATAGTGGTCTGAATGATACAAAGTTCCTGTAATTTTTGTGAAGATATGTGACAGGACAGAACGGTGTCCTACTAATCTCCATAGCTTATGATTTGAACTCAGTCCTGTTAGAGAATTTCTGTAGGGCTTCACTCAGAGACAGAAAACTATGAAATTAGCCTTTGTGCATGTGTGTGTTTGTCTATATGTAAAGTCAGTGTCTATACATAGGTACATTAACACATATCTGCACACAGAAAATTTATATTTATTGAATCAGTACAGAGGATTTTTTTTTTTTTTCTTCTTCTCTGAAGAGGTGACAATGGAGACAGATCTTTCTTAAGTCATTCTGGCAAGTGGGATGCCTTTGTGCTGAGCTTCGTACAAGAGTGAATAAAATCATATTGGTTTCTGGACATGTACTGGTGCTATGTTCTTTGTCATGATTGCGATCTGAAGGATGAAGATAAGTTTTTGCTAGTGTGGCAGTTGTCGTGTTGAGGATGTTAAGTTGGAAGTGAACCCACAATTTATTATGTGTTCCTGAGGCTTTGCATTCATTAATTCTGCAGAGAAGAGGACAGGGCCCAAATTCTTCTTTCCCTCTTCTCAGTTTTTTTCTGTTCAACTAGAGGTTGCTGTAAGAATATGTGAAGTAATTTCCCTTGTGCTCAGAGTAGGAAATAACAATTTGGAAGTGAATTAATCAAGATTTTAATACTAGAGTCCTATTGTCTTTGCTTGAACAGCATACAGGTTATTTTGAATGTAGCAGAAACAAGCTGTCAGCAGCAAAAAACTATTGGTGAAAGCTATTTGAGCATAGAGCCTAGGTGCTGTGGGGCAGGCTTGTATTTGCCGTAACTGTGTCATACTGCCATGTAAACAGCCTCTGTTATAACTTGTCACATATAAATTTGTTTTTTGTATCTGGCTGAGGTCAGCATGTAAATCCACTTCAGGCTGATGGCAAATTAATGATAATCTGAAAATTGTAATTGGTCATTCAAGCCTTTTATAAATCATTCTTTGAAACAAAGAATTTACTAGGGAACTGTGTGTGTAAAGTAATGAGGTTTTTTGCCAGCATACCCTCAAGAGTAGCTTATGTAATGTGGGAAAATAGGTATTTTAGACTTTAAAATAAGCAAAGAGCCAAGTTGCTGGAAGATAGCTTCTACTGATTTGAATAATAATAATAATCTGTAAAAAAAGAAACCATAATGCTATTTTCCTGGTATACTTACAATTGCTTATGCAATTTCTGGTCCACGTTTCATAAGATTTTTGAAGTTATTCCTGGAATTAATAATTTATATTCTTTACCCTCAAAGCTGAATATTATGTGTATCACAAGAGTTGTTATTATGTAATTGTTTGTTGGAACTTTCACAGAAACTGCAGTGATGCTTGACTTTAGTAAAGGAGGAGATAACTGCATGAAGGAACGATCCTGCTACTAATTAAAAAATCTCGAGTGCTCACATTGTGTCTGTGTATTGGTTCTTCTATGTGCGTAATGTAAAATATAGTGGGTTTTTTGGGTTTTGTTTTGTTTTGTTTTTTTTAAATCTATAATGTAGGAAGAGCAGGTAATTTTTGTGTCAGTTTTACCAGAACCGTATCTTTTTAGAATCAGAATAATTATTCTTCAATGCATTAATTTCAACTATGTTGAGCTGATATTTCTGTTTGTAGTATGTGACAGGACCTGGTTTTGCTGTTTCACTGATCTTACTGAAAATTCATATAACACTTGTAGCTTGCTGCTTTTTTTTTTAATTAAGACAGAGTTTTTAATATGGTTTGTGTTCAGTGATAAGTGAATAAGAGCTCAGGCTTGAAGAGCAGGTATTTTGTACCATTCTTCTGGTTGGTATCTTCGAACACTTACAACATTACATTCCTGCCTTGATTTTACAAGCAAAAGATTTACTTGTCATAAATCAGTATAGGTGATATTTTAGTGGCTTTGTTTAGCATCTGTTGCTACATAATCTCATTCTTGCTTGGTTAATGCATCAAACACTTTGCCTGGAAGTCAAGGTAAAGCTGTGTTGCAGTTTAATTACACATTATCTGTTTCTGGATTGCACTGATAAGTGTCTAATTAAGTATGTATAGAGTGCTTCAAGCTACTATCTAATAAAATACGGTTACACTGAAAACATTTCATTTGCTAACTGTCAAGGCTAGATGGGTCAGTAATCAAAGCTTTATTTCCACTCCCTATATGTTGCAGTTCTGCTACAACTTGCAAGTGATGCTTTACCAAATGATATGGCCTTGTCTCTTGCCTATCTACTTGCACTGCCGCAGGTATGTTGATAGTGATTTTATTTGTATGTTTTTGCTAGAAAAGACTATTCATACCACTTCAAAATTTCACAAGAAGATGTAATTCCTCAGGGTTTTAAAATCTAAGTCTTTTAAGTCATTTAACTACTCATTTTTATACACTGGGCTGGTAAATTTGAAGGAAACTCAGAACAAATGCCATGAGACTGGCTTATGAGCATGGCACTGGTGAAAAGACACATTTACTTACTTAAAATAGTAGTTGGACCACCAGACTGACAGCTCAGAAATATGGATAATAACTTTGTGTTATAGAAGCGGCAAAACTGTAGTTGGAAAATCATTTAGATGAGGTCTCTGTGCAAAGGGGGAAAAACGTCATAATGTAGAATTATCTTTGTGTGTGTTTGTAGAGGTTACTGGTTTACTTCTGTGACAGAAAAACATAGAGCTATTTCTAAATCACAGCAAGAAGCTTTTTAGAAAGTTTGTACCCTTAATGTTGTATGCTTGCTAATTCTTTCATCTAAATTAATGCTTTCTTTCTCTTAGGTGGTAGATGCCAACAAATGCTTTGAAAAGCAATTACATTCTGCATTATCCCTCCAGCTGGCAAGTTATTACTATAGCCTGCAGATCTATGCTCGTTTGGCACCGTGTTTCAAGGACAAATGCCACCCTCTCTACAGGGTTAGTACTCTTTCTTTTTAAAACCATATTCATTAATGTGCAGCATTAAAGCTATTCTAAAAAGCCAGTACATGACTTAAGCCTGTTAAGGAGCTGATCTGACTTACACTGTGAGCAGCCTGTTAAGTTACGCATAATTATTCTTCTGCAGTGCTGTAAACAGACAAGTGCTTCACAGTTTGTGGAAGACTTTTTGAAGCACAATATCAAGTGTCATTTATAGGTAATAGCACTATCAGTCTTCAAAGTAGCTTATAAACACTGAGCCATAATGAGCATAGCCTATGCTGTCATCTTGCAATACTGATACAATATAATACTTCCTAGGAAGAGTCAAGCGTTCATTTAAACAAGAACAATGCTATTCAGAAAGTTTCCGTAGCTGTCTTTGAGATGTGTTGGTTTGTATTTTATTTTACATATGGTGTTTTGAAAATACATCCTCATTCATTTATGACTTTATTTCCTTTGACAAGTGTCTCTTTTTGAAATGGCACAACTTTGCTTCTTGTTCATCACTTGTGATTAAAGCAGTTACATGGTAAACTCTGAACTCAAAGTCGAAGAGGTGACATATAAAATTTTAGTAAGGCACTAATTGTCATTCCTACTAAGATACCTGAGTGAAAACTCTTTACCACTCCCAAGAGATCCTTTCTGAATTTACACCAGTTCTTTCTTCCTGTACAGAGCTGTCCAGACTGTTTGGTTTTCAGCCTAGCTCTGCATTACAGCTAAAAGAACACTTCTGGTCATAAGTCTTCTGAAAAGAGAAACCATTAATCATCACTGTGGCATGAGAGGAGATTTTTTTTCCATATTCAGAATGACTCCTGATTTACAGAGGAAAGCTAGTTTTGGTATTCGCCTAGT